TCTGTTCTCGGGGTCTGATGTTGGATACGACAGCAATGTCAACCGTTCGATATCTTGTGCCAGCTGCTGAATGGATTCACCAGATCGTTGCGTTCTGTTTCTAAGTTGAGACCGATAAATCTGCTTCATGTGTTCTTCACCATAACGTAAATCCAACGCGCTAACCAGAACTTCATAGTTGAAGTGGTTCTCCGCCGGAATCGTCTGAAGAACCTCTGCTGCTGAACCTCGCAGGGCCAGTATCAGTGCTGTTGCTCGTTCTTTTCCGTTCCAACAGTTACTAGTTGCCGCTGCTTCGAACTGGGTTTTATAAACGTTCCAGGACATCTCTCCGTCAAATGCTGGTACCTTCAAAGTTCTTCCAGATGCGTGATCTAACGGCATGGCCATTTTTTTGGATTGCTCCAATTCTCGCTTCAATTTGTCTATCTTGTGATCTACCTCAACGGTCTGACGATCAAGTTTCTGTTCGATCATTTCTATTCTTGTTGACTGTTCTTCAATCTGTTCTGCCACTTCCAATTTTACGTGTTTTAGCTGGTCCTTGATCTGTTTTAACTCCTCTGTCTGTCGTTCGGACTGTGCCTTGATCTGTTGTTTTAACTCTTCTGTCTGTCGTTCGGACTGTCGTTCGGACTGTTCTTTGATCTGTTTTAACTCCTCTGTCTGTCGTTCGGACTGTCGTTCAGACTGTTCTTTGATCTGTTTTATTTCAGTTGACATACTAAGCAGAAGTTCCATCATTTTGGCGGTTGTAAACGTGCCTGTGCTAATTTCATTGTCTTCGTCAGCACCATCAAACTTGAATTCGTCTGGGTTCATACCTTCGTCAATGAGAGCTTCTCTCAGACGTGCAACTAGTACTTCTTTGTTGCCACTTGTGACAAGGCTTCGTTTCTGTAGTTCTTCTCGTAGTTGAACTACGTTCAACCCACACAGTTTTGACATCGTGTTCTTTTTCTACGAGTAGTAATTCGCTGGTCGAAGATCCCACTTCTGACACCAATGTTATAATACTCGCTGTCGTAACCGGTTTACGATGCGACGGGTTCAAATCTTCGATTGAATAAAATACTCCAAACAGTTATTAAACTTTATTTACAGAAGAAATCAACTATTATTAGTTATTAAACTTTATTTACAGAAGAAATCAACTAATCGTTTATTTCCAGTAAATTCGCACTAACGCAACAATTAACTTTTAAATCTTTCAAAATCTATCGCTATGACAACGTCAACAAACAATTCAAATATCGCTTTAAATAATTCACCGAATCGCTATTCACAAAATCACGAATTTCACTAATCACGAATATCACTAATCACGAATATCACTAATCACGAATATCCCAATCACGAATATCACCAATCACGAATATCACCAATCACGAATATCACCAATCACAAATATCTTGCGACGTGCGCTTATATACTCTTCGCAAGCGTCGTTTCTAGATTCTTCCCGATGGTCCGATTCCAGCATACTCTAGAACGTTCCAGTCACTAGAACATTCTAGAATACGCTAGAATCTAGTGCGTTCGGTAGCACGGTTATAACAATATATAAGAAATCGCCCATTTATTACATTTAGCAGCCGATAATAATTCAGGACTATAATTGTGAACTGCACAGATTAACAAGCGTTTATATTTTAACAATATATAATTTGTACAAAATGATAGACTAGTATTTTTTACGACTAATTAATATAGCCTATTTATAAAACTTAAATTCTGAAATTCTTTTAACATTTATTAGAATGTATGTAAAAAAAGAATTTAATACATTATAATAAATAAATAAATATCTGCATTGAGCTTATTAAAATTGAAACATTGTTTCCAAGACACATAGATACGTATATAAGAATGTTAGAATAGATGTACGAACAAATAGCAAAATCAACGAGCGTGAAAAATTGACCTGAGGCGATTGCGGCAAGCTACAATAGATTATTTTCAAATCTAATGGTCAAACTAACCTTAATTTCAACAAAACTCCATTTCAGCTGGATGAAAGTGTACTTTCATTTTTTGGCAAATAAATCAAATTTGATCATAATCATTTTATATTAATTTCAATATATTTTAATTAATCATTTTATATTAATTTCAATCTATTTTTATTAATTTCGAGATAATTTGTTTATTTCAAATCTAAAACAAACCAAAAATTATCGCAATTTTATACTTTCATTTTAACCAGCTGATTACGATCACCTCAACAGAAGTAATTAATTTGTGGTAAATCGGCGTTTGTGCGCTCATTTCAATGTCTACCTTACATATGATAATTATTTAGTTGATATTGTAATAATCAGTTGCTTTTAAGAAGCAGACCACGCCCACGCACATACTTATCTTTCGAAGATTATTGAATCTGATCAGTGGCGGATCTAGCCAAAAGTTTTAAAATGTTTAATTTTTTTGCTTATCTCCTGTCAAATTGTGGTAGATCCGCCACTGGCTGCGCTCATATTGAGCAGAGCAAATAGGATACATTTCACAGCTGTTTTTGTGTTTCTCTTTTTACATTAACTCGATTGAAAAGCAAGTTACAAATTTTCATTATCTAAATAATGACTATTTGTTTGGCGACTACACGTTCAAAGACTGTCATAACCGAAGATGATGATAAGGTCAAGTTCTCATCACAACTAAACAACCCCCATTGTGTGCCCCTCTGACAGTCAGAGTCCAACTCCTGGCCTTCTCGTGGCGAAACTTTTTAAACTAGCAGGAGAAGGGGTGAAAGCGGGTAACAAGCGCCTCAAAACTAGTCGCTTCGGTTTGATGAGGCTCGTTACCAACCCATTTAGGAGAAGGTAAACTCTGATTTCAAACCTCCACTGCCTTGTGGTTATACCCTTTTTTGGGAAAGGCTGAGGGAGTAAACCCTAGCATAAATTAGTCGTGGTAGTGCGTTTTTAAGACGATATGGTTGCTTCAACTTCTAAACGGCTTTCCACCTACCCACGTTTGTCTGACGAACAACTGGAAACAACTACAGCCAAAGTATTTTTCACATGGAGTCGTTTCAATAAAATATTATATCGCATCGCTCATCGCGCGGGTTAACAAGGAGCGCACTGTCTCGGTTATCGTCATCCGGCTGTGATAAGCGGACTACGGCGAACAACCCTATTTATAACCCCTCTTCATGGTCCGGTGCCGGAGCCAACCCGCTTGATTTGCAAGACACCAACAGGATGAGCTCTTGGAGCATTCGCTCACTTGGCGCAACGGGTGGCGCAAGGATCTACGTGGACGAATTGTCGAGATACGGTATTAAGGTATATGTATTATAGGCCTGCAGGAAGTTCGATGGCATGGCGCTGGTGAACTGCGTGTTGCTGATTTCAATATACTGTAGTCGGGCTCAGCTGATGGTCATACCAGGCTTGCTGGTATTGCCTTGGCCCTGAGCAATCAGACTAATCGCAGATTGAATGGCACCTGAACAGTGAAAGGCTGATGGTTGCTCGTTTCAGACATTGATATGGTGCTATGCCAGTGATTGTCTGCTACGCGCCAACTAATGAAGCGACAGATGAGACCAAAAATTTTTTTTACAGCGCACTGGAGGACTCGTTTTGCTTCATCAGGCCCGCCGACTTCATTATTTGCCTGGGCGATTTTAACGCGGTAACGGGTGTTGACCGCTGTATGCTTGTGGTAGTTGGCCCCTTTGGTAGCGGGTCACCAAACGACAACTCTGATCGTTCTCTGGAATTATGTGCTTTCGCGAGACTTAGGGTCTGCGAATCCTGGTTCCGCCGTAAAGATATCCATAGACTGACGTAGCACTCAATTGACGGTGTTACGGCTAAAGAGGTTGACCATTTTTGATTCATTCAAAGGGATGCTATGTGGCTGTTGTTCCGTGGTCTGGACATACCTGATCATCTGATAAAACTGCTTAAGGCTTTATACACCCACACCTTGAGCTGTGTTAGATTGGAGGAGCGATGCTCTCGGTGGTTCGAGATTGATAGCGGCGTCAAACAAGAGTGTATACTTGCGCCGGATAAGTTCTTGGCCCAAATAGATTGGATCAAGGAGCGTTCCGTACACTAAGGTATGCTCGGCGCCACAATCGGCAATGAGGTGTTCACGGACCTGGACTGTGCAAATGATGTCGCTCTGCTGTCTGAGATGCGAGATGTTCTCATACTGTCATTGGATACTATGTCCGAAGAGGCAAAGCCTTTTTGGCTTAGAAATCAACCGATAAAAACAAAATTCAGGCAATCTCTCTAAGTGATCCGCTACCCGCGTCTGTCTCTGTGCTGGATAATGACGTACAGATTATGGATTCGTTTCCATATCTCGGCTCCCAAATACACTCGTTGGGCAGTAGTGACACTAAAATTTTGCGTTTAATCATCATTGTCCGCGCGTGTATGAGGTCACTGGATTGTGGTTTATGGCACTCTGGCATTTCGGTGACGACCAAAGTTTGATTGTACAACGGATACATCATACCTGTGCTGTTCTATGGATGCAAGGCGTGGTCTACTACTGGCACCCATTTGAAGAGGTTAGACGCTACAGATCAATGATGGTTTTGCAAGATCCTTCGTCTGACCTACCGCGATCGCATCACTAACGTTGAGGTGAGGAGAAGAACAAAGCAGCAGCCCTCCGTTTTTTCACTACTGTTCAGGTGTCGTCTAAACTTTTTTGCCAGTCCTATGGAGAATCATTACCGGGCTTTAAAAGCTGTCATAGACCGACCGCCAACGGACTGGACTTGACAGCACGGCCATCCAAGACCGTCATGGATCCGCTCAATGGAGAAGGACCTGTTCCTCATAAACTACGGTCCTTACTCGGCTTTGAGACTTGTTCATGATTGTTTGAAATGGAAGCACCTTGTCAACACGGCAACGTCCAGTTTTGTGGCACGCCAATAATAATAATAATAACTACACATTCGATTGTTTTTTCAATGAACATCAGATTCTATACCGGTCGATAACGGTTCATGTCGTTTTTGCCGAGAGATTGTATTTTCAGCAAGTAGTTTGAACAAATGTGACTAATGCATGTTTTCATACCAAGGAAAGTTCACCAGGACTTAAACATTCTTAAAAAAACACGTTATTCAACGACAAAAGTGAATAACGACAGAAACAAGTTTTAATATTTTTCGACTGTCGCGGTCGGTAGGCAATCAAGAAAATATGATTTTGTCTGTGACTCCAAAATAATCTTTTTGGTATCTTTCCTTAAACAGTACAAAAACATTGCAGAAACAAAAACATTTTCAATCATTCACATTAGTAAAATTGGTACTTTTGACATTTTGGCATCCATTTTTGGATGTCCACCTCTTGTCTGAGAGAAAATTTTTTAATAGTCAATAGTTAGTATGATTGAAATGGTAATTTTACGTTAAATCAGATGTTTCCCGACCTGCATTAAATTAAATCTTTTTAGTAAAATTGCATTATGGTGTACAAAATTTCATTGACTTTCTATAGAATTTGAGTCCGTGTTTACTTTGTGCATGTAAATGATTTAACGAATTTCTATAAAACGGTTGATAACTTCCTGCTCACCTTAGAAAGTTTGCTGGAAGTCACAGAAACTTTTGTTTTGTTTATTCTTTCCCCCACTTTTCAACAGTCATGCTAAATGCAATTCATTAACTTAATGCTACCTGACTTTGTTTCTTAAAAATTTATAATTTAAATTATGGATAACAATGATGTGGAAGAAACGTTGACAATCTTTGACAATTTTCCTAAATTTGATTTTAATTTGGAGATGAAAATGAAGCAGTTGTTTGATGTCAGTATTGCTTTAAATGTCCCTCGTGGACATGTGGCCTCTGATGAACATCCTTTCAAATCGATTAAGATTGTAGGCAAAACTGAAATCAATGTACGAAAAACTAAGGTAAGAAATTTTTTAATAAAAATTCTACTTTTAGTAAAGTTTTAAACTTCAATTCAACTTTCAACTCACCTACTCCAGTATCATTCCAAACTACAACATCTGTTTACATTCACTATCTCTAATAGAGAGTAAAATAAGCTCCTCCTACTGAAATTCGAAAAGTACAATGAGATTAAAATAGATGCATGCGCTTTTGTCTTTTATATGTTTTTATTATAATATTATTATTATATGTTTTATTTTATTATAATTTGTACGTATGTTACACGTTATCTGTACGTATATTATAATTTGCACATATAATTTAGTAAAATAATGTGTATAATGTATATGTGTGTAAAGTTGATGTGTGTATATGTGTCAGGGTTAGGGGCAGGGTTAAGTTAGGTTGTCGTGAAAAAATAATATTGAAAATTAATTGAAAATAGAAGAAATGATAAAATGAAGTATAATAAAATTGTTCGTTCTATATGTTTCGTGTTGTTACGATGATGGAGATGTCGCGTCGGAGGCAGATGATATTACTCAACGATGTCAACATACCTTTCAATGTAACCTTATTAAAACAACCATAAGAACAACTACAAGAACTATTTCAATAAATTGATTTTAATAAATTTTAATATATATATATTGTTATTTTAATCAATATATTACTATGTTAACATATTTAAATACGATATAAACGTTTTTAAAATTCTTTTATTTTTATCTTAATCAACTTTCTGCATATTAGTGGGAGGCGCTTTTGTAACTCTCTATTAGAGATAGTGATGTAAACAATCATAAATGTAAACAAATTTTAACATTGTAGTTTGGAATGTAAACTTATGCCCAGTTTGCCTTACTACAGGCAAAACTAACTTGAAAAGTTGACCTAATTTTTATTGTATATTTGTCTTGCTTGTGTTTTTATATTGTATATGTTTCATATTTAAAGTTTAGTTAAACTTTTTAGGTAAAACCTTAGCATTCCACTTTTATAAGTTGTTTACATTACAAATTACATAGAATAATATTAATTACCTTTAAATTTGACTCTGCCTTTACTTTAATTTATATTTGTGACAAGCAAAATCACTTCTGTTATAATTTGTAATTTATAAATTTCATTTTACGTAAAAATAATATTTTAATAAATATCATTTTTTATTATTTAAAAACCTTATAAACATGAAAACGATTTATAATTGTATTTGCACATTATATTTACATAAAAAAAAGAAAACAGAAGTAATATCGAATAATGAAAGTAGTTAATTTTGGAACAAAATAGAAAAATATGTGTCATAATTTAAAACTAGGTAATAATATCGAATAAGTTTCAGAGCTCTCTAGAGCTGTTCTTTATGATCTGCAATGGTACACAGTCACATTCATCAGGGTATGATTATAAGTGAGCATCACAGGTGCCATTCGTTCTTTTAAGTTTTTGTTTCCGCATCTCCACAAATTTTCCACTCCATTTGTGTGCACTCCGTTTATTGCCTGAAATGTAATGGAGTGGTTCATGGTTTGATGGGTTAAGCCAGTTACGGGTGTGATGCTGTTATAAGCAGCCCATTGATCCGACCAAATTGTTATACCTAAAATTATTAAAATAGAACTATATTTCATAGCCAACCAAAATGAATTCTAAAACATTTAAACTGTATGAAACCAACTGTCAACATGTCGCTGTATCAACGGCAACAAGTGGCTGCATCTCATCTTTCACTTTTGTCTGCATACAGAGATACGATTCTCATCCATCTGAACAATCTGTCCTGGGCCACCTATTCATGAGCCCAGTCCACACATAAATCTCGATCTAAATTGAACCAGTCAAGTATTTTAATTTATGAGCTTAATTATATTTGGCTTCATACTTATTAATTAACATTTTTCAAATATAATTTCATGAGTTTTGAAATGCTATTTAATATTTTAAATTTTTCAAATAATTTATTTAAAAATTATAATTATATTTGGCATCATACTTGTTAATTAACATTTTTTAAAGATAATTCCATTAGTTTTAAAATACTATTTAATATAATAAATTTTTAAACAATGTTTTTGATAATAATTATTTCATTTTATTTTATTTTCAACATCAAATAATTTATTTAAAAAAATGAAGCTCTTTCGTTGGTCATGAATATTAATTAGAGGCGGAATCTCCTGGAATGGTCCTCAATATTATTCTATGTAAACAACTTACCCGTAGAGTGGTAAGGTTATACCAACTTTTTAACTGTTAAAGATGTTTCATGCTAGCACTGAAATTTTGCAAATAAATCACTGTTACACAGAGCCAAAATATCTGAAAATTGCTACATTTTGTGCTCCCTCAATGTTAGTTCTTTGTTATTCTCACCATGTGCTGTACTTCAATCACAGCCAATCTATTTCAATTTTGTACTACGCATACATAGAGTGTAGAGTTAACACCTCTCGATAACAGAATTTTTTTAGAAATTACAAAATAATTTACATATATGTGTTTTATATAGCACTATAGAGGTGTGTGACTGCGGCTGTGGTGTAGTGGATAGAGGGTTGGTAAATGATTTTGCGTCAATGGGTTTGAAACCAGGCTATGCCATATGTCTAAGGTTTATCATATGTGGTGATGGTGCAAGTGCACTTGTCCACATCGTTTGGATAGCGCCGTTGAACGTTACGGAAATGGCACAGTATAAAATTTGAAATGAAATGTTGCGTGTGGACAAAATTTGCATTACGTACATAAATTTAATTTTTATTTTTAAAACGTTTGGTCAAATAAAATAGGCCACAAAAGTTGAGTGAGATTATATAATTTTTTCAACAAAAACATCATTCCAAAGCTTTGTATTAATTTGTAAAAGATTAATAAATCATTTTTGCTCAAACGTATATTTTTGATTTAATGTTGCAGCTGTCAATTAACTTGGAGTTTTCAACAGGAGGTCATGAAATTGAGAACAACTGTATTTTAAATTTTCACAAACCTGCAGCTCAGCTCTCAATACACCTGGTCCAAGACAATTTCGTTCTTTTGTCCACACAGAAATCATAATGCTAAATGTTCGCTCACATGAAGCATTAGAAACGAGTATAGAAACTACAAAAGAAACTGTTTTAAATATTTCATTTTCACTGTTTTTGTCCTTAAGTTTGATAAAATAATTCTTTCATCTGTTAACCACGTTTTCTTGTTTCTGGACTAATAGTTTTTGAATACTACACATCTCACAAAAATCATTGTAAAGTTTGTCAATGTCAATGTTTATTTTCAAATTTTTCACCAGTTTCTGGAAAGAAGGCCACTCTAGAGCATCTTTCAACGTTAAAATACTCATTGATTTAAATATAGAATACTTATAATCATAACATTTGTCGAGATAATTTAAACATTTGCTGTAAAATTGGTCAACATCGTTTTTGAAAAAATTGTCACGTTTGCAAACTTTGATATTCAGCAGAAGACACCTATTGTCACCAAAAATCGCCATGTATAACCCCTAATAAATTATCAAAAAAAAACCTTGTCGGAACAACATTGGGCTATATAGTTGGATCAGCTTTACATAAAGTAGCAATTCTTATTGTTATTTGATCATGTCTATCCCTCCTATTCCAGTTAACCCTTAGTATTAACATCCTGATAACAAAAAAAGATATAATATACTTTTTAACTATAGATAAGTACGTTTTTATTACAGTTATGACTAGACTAATATTCACACCAATGTTAGCTCTTATTACAACTTACGACTTATCCTTTAAGGAGTGACGGCGATTTGTACGAAGATTTCGATCAACCTTAATGTCATGTAATTCAGAACTTGTAGTTTGGTCGGACTCTAGCTTTAACACTTTAGTTTGAAACAGTTGCATCACATTTTGTATGAAATAACGATAAATTTTTGGAAAAAAAATCGCTTTTTTTCATTTTTGAATGCATCCCAAATTATTTTGGAACAATCTTCTTTTCGGGAAATAAAATAAGACCTCAACGCTGGCCAAACTAAGAATTCTTCAACTGCTGGAAGCAAAGATAGCCGCCATCCGGTTGGTACATGTCTGTAAATGTTGAATATTAACATAATCCACAAATGTATGAAGCTGAGTTGCACGTTATGCATATCCTGAAAATTCTGCATAAATTCTTAGAATAAGAATATCGACATCTTTCGACAGAGCCTTGCATGAGTGTTTCACACCGCTGTGAAGAATGTGGCATTTGCAATTTGCTGCAATAAGTTCTGCATTTTTTCCTCCTAATCTCTGATAGACTCTTTTACCAAACTTTATTGCTGCATAATCGCCAGAATACACCACTTGACTTATGTCTAGTCCATTTTTTTCAATACTTGTACCAAATTACTCATTATCGTTTTACTGCTTTTATTTGGATTTTCATGAAAATCTAACAAACCATGCTTATTGCTTTCAACTATTAAAAAATATTGAACTTTTACTAGATACAGATTAATATTTTCTTTGTTAGACGAATCAGTCACTAAAGAGAAGCATAACGATTCGTGGAGTTCAGATAACAGTTTTTCTTGCGCGAAAGGAGCGATGACATTTTTAATTAAACATGCCGCTTTTGTTTTTCTACAAGCAATCTTTTTTGCAATACTTCATTCTGGAAAAATAGTTGCAAGCTTCTTGTTTCTGCAATCTTGACTAGCATAACCATGGTATGTTATTGCTGTTTTAGCAGCAGTAACGCGATCATCTTTTCTTGTATTTAATTTTCGTAAAAACCTGTCATTATCGAATTGTTTCTTGTTTCCAGTGAGTAGTACCGGGGCATGGTGAAACTCGGTGGCGGACTTAGCAGCCATGCCATTTAGTGAACTTAAAGCTGCTTTTAGTGTAGCATTGATTTCGAACATCGGCATGATGGATTGTACTGTTGAGGTCCATTTTGACGTCTGCGTGGTTTTAATTTTCAGAGGTGGATGTTGTTCTTGAGTCACGAAAGCATGGCATGGACGTTGAGGGTCGTAGCATTGTGCGAGGAATTGTGAGGAGAGTAGACCCTGTATGTTGTCTTATCGAGTGCATTCGGCAATCGGAATGCAGATGCTTTTCTGAAGTGGCTTTATGGAAACATTCTGAGCGCGTTGTAAACGGTCGAGGCTGGAGTCCGATGTAAGTGATACCCAGACGAGGCACGCATATTTCTTTATTGACCTACCTATGGATCTGTAGAATTGCATGAGCGTCTTCTTGTCTTGGCCATAGGAGGTACCGCTGATAGCTTTTAGTATGTTGTTCCTTTTTACAGCCTTGGATGCTGACAATCTGTTGTGTTAAATGTTAGCATCGTGTCGAAGGTTAGGCCTAGTACTTTCGGGGTTTGCTCAAGCGGCATGAGCTGCCCATTGATCTTGACCTGGGGGTGGAAGTGATACTGGGCTAATAAGATTAGGGAGGTAGATGTTGAGACGTTGGGTCAAAATATCCACATCTGGGCCGGTCGTGTAGACGGAAAATCATCAGCATAAGACATCAGGCGGAGGTTTAGGGATGCGCGAGATATAGAGAGATATAGAAGTTAAAGAGCGCAGGTGACAGCACTGAGTCTTGAGGGACGCCAGTATGGATGTTTCTTTGCTTGGAAGATTGATTCCGAAATTCCGTTATGACCGACCGACCTTGTAGAAAGTTTGACAGCCAGCTTGAGTTGAAGCCTGGCAGCGAGGATTTTAGCGGGTCAGATATGAGGATTCTGTGGTTTACCATGTCAAAAGCCTTGGACAGATCGATTGCTGCCAGTATAGTGCGGTGTGCCAGCCTTTTTTGGTTAGAGCTGTTGGCAGCATCCATTGAGATGAGAGTAAGTGCAGTAGTTGTTGAGTTATTCAGGACGGAAGCCGTGTTGGTGACTTGACGGGATCAAAAGTTCAGAGATATTAAGGAGACATCTTTCAAGAATTTTCACAACAGGACAGAGAAGTGAGATGAGCCTCTAAGGGTTGTCGTCGTCATTCGGCTTGCCAGGTTTGAAAAATGGAATAATCCTAGCCTTATAGATGTCTGATATTCTACATAACCGGAAGGACAAGTTGAAGATCCTAGTGAAGAATGCCAAATTATACGGGCCGAGGTGTTTTATGTGTAGCATGGTAAAACTGTCTAAGCCTACAGCTTTTGCGTGTTTTCTGGCGGAGAATACTTGATCCACAGAAAATGTAAGGCTTTGGTGTTTAGCGATATGGGTCTGTCTAGTTTATTGGAGGTATGCGGGCGGCAAAACTGTTAGAGATGGGATTTACCGTTGAATTTTATGGCGTTGAATCCACCTCTTTCAACCACTCATCATTGAATGAACAAATATATTTTTTCTTTAGTAGATTTAGACATTTTAATTTTTAAATTAAACAAAAAACAAAACTACGACTATGTTTTTAAAAATCCAGCGCTATTTGTCAAAAATCTATGATTTCTTCAACTAAAAAACTTAAAAGAAATGTGCTCACTATAAAAAGTTTTTCCAACCCCCTCTAGCTGTTGCATAAATGTTACCTTTACTTGATTAATTAATTAATTATATTTAACTTTTCATTTTAAGAACTATCTAACGGCCATCTTTGATATGTCTAGTCCTTGCGAAATTTTCGAATATGATGTTAATCATGAAGATGTGTTTGTGAGGAGTCTCGACATCATTGAAAAGATATCAACTGCTCATCTGATCAAAAGTGATGGTTGCTTTATAGTGATTGGTGCCAATGAAAATATTATCATTCGTGCAATTTCTTTATTCACCAAAATAACCGAAGACTTAATAAGGAATGGTCTAAATGGAACTTCAAATATTGTGAATTTAATTGATAGTGATAACACCATTGTACTAGATGAAGCTGATGAGAATAATTTGGACCAAAGTGTTGCACATTCTGATGATTCAGTCATTTTCTTGCATGATTTCTCCAATCAAGGTTGCATACATTTTCAGTTTACAAATAATTTATTAATTATGGAATGTTACCTATTAAGTTTTTTTAATAATTCAGATGTCATGATGGATGTTTCTTCAGATAATGAAGAAATTACTGTTATTGAACAATCTGTTGAAATAATGGATATTGATGACAATCAGACTGACTCTCAGGAATGCATCTTAATAGAGGACAGCTGTCTCAAAATAAACAAAGTCAAAGAAGAAAATTTACAGTTAGATGTCTTAAAAATAAAGAAAAAAAAGAAAAAAAAATCTCAAAAGCTTGTACATAATGATACAAACAATGACAAGATCAATAACAAACAGTGCTCAGCTGCTTCAGTGTCTGCCAATACTACTGTCAATCACTTTTACTCTGTCTCTCAACAGCAGACGCCAAATAACGTTAGAAATGAGTTAAAAAGACCAGTTTTAATTGAAAATACTGCACTAAATCTTTGCACTGAAGCAGCCGCAACTTGCAACCAACAAATAAATTGTGCTTCTGAAACTAATGTGAACGCTTCTAACCAATTATTATCAAACTGCCCTGTTAAAATTGCTGTGGATGCTTCTAATCGATTACCTACTTCTTCCGAATCAACTGCTAGTGCCGGTAGTGACATGGATTGTTTCATTGATGCAACAACCAACTACCAGATTCGCAACTGCAGCAGTGCCGCCAGTATTAAAAATAATTTAACATCTGCAGGACTTAGACCTATTGTCATTGATGGAAGCAATGTAGCCATGCAGTAAGTTATTAATTTGGCTTCAATTTTCTTCTATTACATTTTCAACTTTTGATTTTTAGGAACCATCCTCAAAAATTTATTCTTTCAAAAGCATTTACAATTTTTTAAAGCACCTTCAACTTCAACATTGTTGTTAAAGCTTGCCTCTAGGGGTGCCTAAGTATATTTTGGATGTTCAGAAATTGAACCACAGCTACTTAGTCCGCCCAAAAACTGGCGGTAGTGAAGGAGGTTGGATTTATAGTGCAGTTGAAAAGGTGTTGAACAGTGTGGTGGGGTGAGTGACAAAGGTTGCATGGGTTGAGAATGGTATTATTTATGCGACTAAGGTAACTATAGAGGTGGTTAGAGTCGCTACAAGAGTGGTTCTTGTTTTCTGGGGTGGCGATGCTTCAATTTAATTGATAGGAAGGAGGTTGGTGGCTATTGAATATTGGGTTTGATTCTAAAGAGTTGATGGTTTTGAGGATTGTGGTAATGTGGATATGACAGAGTAAAATTTTGTTCGTGTGATTGTGACGAGGTGTTGAGTCAGGTTGAGCTGAAGGTGAAGGTGTTGAGTGTTTGATTGATGGTGCAGTGCTGATTAGACAAGGGCATGGATGACTGTTATTGAGGCATTGGTTTGTTAGTGGGGTGGACTGTTGAAGGACAGGTAAGATGTTAATTTCTTGGTGTATGTGTTCTATGGGTGTCATGAGGAGGCAGCTGGTTATAGTTTGTAAGGCAGATTTTTGGTTGTTATTAACAATTTTTATTATTGTTGTTGTTATTGTTTTTAACCATTAGCCTAATCTCAATTTGGGAGATCACGACGTCTGCATAGACACGATAGCTGGCAGCAAAGAATTTCGTACAGATTATTTTTTTCAGCTATTTTTAAATTGTCTGCCCCAAAAAATTTAATTTTCGGATTACATTTCAAAAGTTTTGATTGTTAAAGTTAGGTGAACGAATAACGTTATGAGTGCCTGCACGTCTCTTTTGTAAATTAATTTGCAAAGTTACTTACGAAGATATATTTCAAAATTTAACGTAATAAGAAAGATGTCTGTGATATTATTATGAAATTAATAACAAGATAGATACAAACATTTAAAAAGTAATTTTATTAAATAATACAAGAAATTTATCATTACAAATTATTTGCTAACTTTGTTAACGAAATATATTTTTATTGTCCGTCAAGTCACGGTCTCAGCAAGGTGTTCTCTTGCAAAGGTATTCAACTGGTGATTGATTATTTCCGTGGCCGAGGTCACATGAAGATTGTGACATTTGTTCCTCAGTGGAGACGGGCCTCGTCAGCCAGCGGCAACACCATACGAGATATAGCCATCCTCGAACAACTCTACAAAGAGGCACTGCTTGTATTCACGCCATCGAGACGAGTGGACAAAGTTTACATCAGCAGTTACGACGACAGGTTCCTCCTTTTCATTAACTGTCTATCACTATGCGTGGTTTTGTGTTCTGATTGCATGTCCTACGTTCTTGCGTTTTTCAAATTTTTTAATGCTCCCCACGTGAATTGGGTGATGGAAATTCGGTAGTCAGTCTTAATGTGATGATGACGTTGTCTTGAAATAAAATAATTTGTCGTTAGTCGTTTGTGTGATGTGCAAGGAAATATTGATAGCTCATTTTCTGTCTGTCACTAATATGTACCAACCATCGATGTTTGCTGACAGGTTCATACTGAAGTACGCATCAGAGGAAGGGGCGGTCGTCGTGTCCAACGATCATTTCAAAGATTTATATTGTGAGCCAGTCTTCAAAGAGACTATCGAAAAAAGGTTTGGTTTTTTTTTGTTTAATATACTAATATAGTTCTTACAAAGCAATAAATTAACATAATTCTAAAGATAAGTTAGAATTGTTTTGTGATATCCAACATGAGATGACAATAAACAAACACACAAAGTAAGGATTGAGATGGCCGTTCGTCAAATAATGCAATGAAAGCAAACTTTTTAATGACTATTGAAGTCATAGTTGGTTGGGATTGAAGGTTCATGCTTTTTGCAGGGGTAGGAACTGTTGGAGCGTTCGAAAGGTTTCATGCTAGGTTTTAAACAGGAGCAGGCAAGATAATGAAGCCATAGTCACAAGTTATAGCATTAAGTGCGACTCATGTGCATGCACATATCCAGCTTTAACTATGGTTCCGGCCGGATGTGTCTGTGTAATCCGGGTAATCCGACTGGTTTTGAAAAAGTGCAACTTCTGTACAGACCTAGCAACATTATGTCCGATTGAATGTTTTTTGTTCGCTTGGTAGTTTTTTGTTCTATCGCATTTGAGACAAAAGTACTTTAACTTTATCTTGAACTATAGTATTTGCACTAAATTTTAATTTTCAGTGCTTGTACTTGAGACCTGAGTATAAGTACTTGAAAACATCTCTGATGCAGGCAACAGAACAGATGTTTCAAAAAATGCCCTATTCTGAAAAAGGTACATTCAACAAAAATGAACTTCCAAGTCATCGGCCTGTATCGAACCTTGTGTTTTTGTCTAAAGTTGTTAAACGCATAGTCTTTCAGCAACTTGTCACTTTCTTAAACGCCAATAATCCCATTCGACTGAGACGACTTTATTGTATGTTTCTTCTGATTGGTAATCCTCTACAGATGCTTAGAATGTGTCTTTTAGGTATGAGCTCTGCCTTGATTGTGTCGATCACTCATTACTTTTACGCAAGCTCCAATATTCATTTGGAGTATCGTGTGTTGTTCTTTAATGGATTGAGCCATATCTTTCTGGTCGTACACAACAGATTCTGTTCAGATTTAACTTGACACACGTTGAAACTGTGTCATACGGTGTTCAACAGGGGTCGGTTCTCGGCCCCCTCCTGTTTGTGTTGTACACTGCAGATGTTTTTAAAATCATTGACAGATATAAGTTCAAACATCACGGTTTTGCTGATGATATTCAGGTCATTGCTAGTGCCTCCTTTTGTCGTTTTGATGATCTGGTCTGTAGACTCAGATCATGCCTCTCGGAAATTGATGAGTGGATGATAGCAAATAGGCTTAAATTGAATCCATCAAAAACTCAGTTTTTACCGGTTGGCACTAGGAAGCAATAGCAAAAAATGAACATTTAGTCTATCAAACTTGGTGATTCTGACATAGAATTTTATACATCTGCACGCAATCTGAGATTTGATTTTGATAATACCATGTCTTTTAACGTTCATACTAGGGCAGTTTGGAAAGAATGCTCTGGACAATTGCTTAGGCACATCAAACGATCTTTAAACAAGCATACCCTTCAATGTTTTTTTCATTCCTTTATCCACTCAAAAATAGAGTATTGCAATAGTCTATATTAAGGCCAGTCTGGTATAAATATGTCTAGAATGCAGTCGGTTCAAAATTGGGCTGTAAGGTTGGTTTCAGGGGGCTTTAATACTGTCTGCAAAATGAACACTAAATATTTTTTTCTAATAAAATTAAGTGGATAATAGATTTAGTTAAACTTGTATCTATTTTTAAAATGAATTAGTTTTTCCGGGAAATTAATTTATTTTTCATGATAATAAATTGTTATAGCAAAAAATTATAAATTTTATCCTAATTTTTTCAAACGTTTCTGTAACTAAAATTCATTTTGTGTGCTGTATCCTTTGCGGCGCCACATATTTTGTGTCTCACCTAAATTCATCAATAATTTTTGGTACGTACGTTTTGCGACATTTTGTCGTATGACATCAAATCACCGACGGTCATAATTGATTTTTTGAAATAGCTTTTACTTTATTATTAACAAGTATCTTTTTGAATGTGATGCTAAAGTTGCTAACAATAAAGGAGTTGGACAGTTGCTGACCTACTTTGATGTCCTTGTTAATGTTGAAAAACAATTTCATTGCCAGAATTCTACCCTTCACATTCGTTGGAGATAAGGTGATGTTTCCAGATGATCCCCTGGGCCGCTCTGGTCCCACGCTCGACGACTTCTTAACATTTTCGTGAGTGTCTGCTCTTGCTGACGTTTTTGTACTAAGTTTAATCTTATAATATGTGTTATTAAAGTTTGTGTTGAAAGAATTGCCACCGATGTAATGAAAAAAAATTTAGTCAAATGTACGTTTTTAATGCTATTAAAAATTCAGATGTGTATGTTTTTATTGTTATTAACAATTCAGAAATGGTTCGGTAAATTCCACACATCATCCACACCGCTCAAACTCAGCTTCGGGATTTGTAAATAGCAACAATCACAACTTGACATGGCGATATCCGCCTAGCAGCCATCAACATCAGCGTCAACAAGGTGGATGTTTTCTAGGCAGGCCCCCTCCATCGCAAACGCAACAATTTTATTCCAGATATCCTTGCAACGCCGGTGAACATCGCGGTCAAACAATTCCTAACATCAAGATACCATTCATTAAAAGGCCAGACCCGGTGACAGAAATTTTGAAAAAAAAGATACTAAGTTGTCGTGTAGGTATGGGAAGAGAAATTGATTTATTGTTACAACAGAATCCTGGCATCTCTAATGTAGATTACTTCATACGAAAATTGGATTTATTGAAGCACGGTAGTCGATGATTTTTAATGTTGTTTATGCTATTTGAATCACGTGTGAATAAGAACAGTTTGATTCATTTTCATATGGTAAAAGTCATTAATTTGAAATAATTTGAAATTGTTCTGTATTATACGTGTAATGAAAATATGTGTGAATGCGTATGAATTCATATATAGGTATATGCACACTTAGTTGGAGGAATATATATATATATATATATGTGTGTGTGTGTGTGTGTGTGTGTGTGTGTGCGTGTGTGTGTAGAAACAGTAAAAATATATATACATAAATATAAATATCAGTAAATTTGGTCAGAATATTTGCCCTTATACATATTTTGTTGAATTCGATGGAAGTTATAAGGTTGTTCATTTCATTTTTAAACGACACAATCTGATAACTTCGACCGAATTCAACAGAATAAATATATGTATGTGTGAGTGAGCTAGCTGGCTGGCGCTCCTCATATAATCCTGCCATACAAACGGTGTACGAAAGAGCATAATAGAGACACGACAATTAATGATGCGAGTTTGTTAGTGCTGTAATAATAATTTGTTGACGCGCCATTGCACATTGACTTGTCGTTGCAACAATAAACTTGAAATTCGTCTGTCCACACGAACTGAGCTGCCTTGCAATTCGGGGAGCATCCTCGATCGATGACATCTTGCAACCGGTCCACCTGGGTCACCCTTTTCTGCGAAGAAGAAAAGAAGGAAGAATGTTTTCATATAGTTTAACTTGTTTATCAATTTTGTAAATAAAGTCATTTTTCACTATTTTTTCTGTCAACGCTTAATGCAATAAGTGTTGATGGGAATTTTCAATTGTCACCTCACTGAATAAAAGAGCAAAATGTTGAAAAAAAATTTTTTTCATTTAAAACTTTGTCACAGTTCAAGTCATTAAAATAAAGGGTGCAGTAGTGTGTTTGATTAACTTGGCTGCTATAATGTCACAATGCATAATCTCGTTCACTTGAAAGTTATAATAGTTTTCAATAAAACTCAAATGTTTTTATGTCTTGGAGCTTTTTCATGTAAATTTTTGTGTATATAAGTAAATTTTTCAGTTTGAAACTTTTGTGCTAAAATTATTGGAAGATAGTCAGCACATTCTTTTATAGATAACTTAATTTTTAATCATTTCTGCTTGATTTTTATTTAATCAGAGAATAAAGTTTGAAAACAAATTATGTGCTAATGTTTTACAACAGTTGTTCAATACATTTTTTAGTTGGTCAGTTGAGTTTGCATAACATGTTCAGCTCATACATAGTTGTGAAAAGGAATAAATTTCAAGGTCTGCATCATTCAAGTGTATTCAATCTGACAATTATATTCGTTACAGAAATATTCATTCCTGCAAGAGACTGCAGTTTCAAATGTCACAGTTTATTTGCAACTGACATTAAAGTCTTCAATTTTTAAATTGGCTATCTTACATGAATTGAGACAGAACTCAACTTACTTCACAAACTTCATTCTTGGCACATTCCTGAATGTATGTTGATTGTGGCGTTGGGTTGAAACAAGAATTTACATCATAATTTGTTATTCCTCGACAGTTATAACACTGCAGGGCATCTGTATTTTTATTTTAAAATAAAAATGATTAATTGACATTTTAAAATGGAAAATGTTGAATTTATACTATGCTTTCAGATTTGAGAAAGTGCAAGCTAAAACATAACATAAAAGGCTGAAAAATGGGATGGGTACATTTTGATGGCTCCATCAAAATAGAGATTACAAAGACAAGGATGTGCAACTTAAATATAAAAAAATCTGTAAAACTGGAGCCATGGACAAAGTTTACATCCTTAACTACTTTCTGGATGGCTAAGGAATAATAATTCACCTCGGGTCTTTTGCCATGGCATTTTATAAAGTAATATGACTTGACTACTTTCTACTGATAATGACTGGACTAAAATTGGTGAATACTTATGATAGGGCTAATGATAAGTGTCTGTTTAGTGTTTATGAGTGGACTTCTTCGCATCTTATATTAGAGGTGTTTATGCTTCCATTTGTACCAAGTAAGCTTTTTTCTATCCCAATCCAAATTATCTATCTATATAGCTAGCTTCTCTATGTTAATTTTAATTTAATCGATCATAGGAAGATAAATATTTTACAAGCGTTTACCCACACATACGAACGTACCATACGTTAATAATAATAATATATAATAGTACCTGATACCAGGACCTAACAGAAGAGACAACAGACCGACCCACTCAGACCTACTTTGTGCTACTATTCAATTGTCATTTGTTCCATAAACAAAAAAACGGTCAAGAATGTGAAGCCTTACTTCATGTTTTGTATTGTCATCAATTTTGTTAAAAAGTAACCTACCTGCCGAAGTGACGAATAAAATCAGTGACAATAACGCCGCAATCATTCTTCTGTTGTTAAATTCGCACACCTGTGTAGTGTACATGCTGCATTTACCTGTTTAGAATTTAAAAGTAAACTTTACCATTGATAACGTATTTTATTACAGAAAATTTATTTTTCTAAGCATATTCTAAGATTAAGAAAAAATTCAACTATAGTACTTTTTTATTCTTGAAAAAATCAAGCTCTGTCAAAAAAGGCAAATTGTATGACAATTAGCATATTGCACTAAAAGTTCATTAGCATGTGTGCAGCTAACATATTTTCTGTTATGATTAATTAGCATATGTGCTGTTAATGGGTCATTAGCATTTCACGTTCATTGAAATCCATCTTTGATAAACCGCCAATCAATAAATCAACCAATTAGTTTTTAAAGCGCTATTTCCGCGATGTTCAACAGCACTCCTCAATAAATTTGCAAACAGATGGTTCTTGAGATCCGGTCTGAACTTTCTAAGTGATGGAGAAGTAATCAGAGGAGGAGGTAGTGAGTTGGAGCAAATGCAAATTTGGCAAAAGAGTGTTTAACACGAGTTAAGAAGTGAGAACCTGAATACGATCAAAAACCGGTGCGTTTAGTTTCAATTAATGTATCTGATAAGTACTTAGAAAATAATTTGGATTGAGACTTATACATAAACGTGCAAATTTTTAAAATTATTCTATATTTTATAGGTTGCCAGTGCAAGAAAACAAGATATGGAGATATATGAGAAAAGAAAGTGGCACGAGCAACTAGACGAGCAGCAGAGTTAAAAGCTTTACTTATAGGATAAAGTGTAGAATTCGGGAGACCATAGTATAGCCAGTTACAATAATCCTAGATAAGAAGACTAACGAAGTAACAAGGAGAAGGGTAGGATCGTAAAGAAAAGGCAAAAGTTTTTTTATTCTACGTAGATGAAAGTAAGAACTACTAGCAACACTATTAATCTGAGAAGAAAGGAACATGCTAGACTACAAAACTTGAGAAACACCAAAAGTCTTACAATTAGGTAAAATAATAGAAGGAATAGTAATAGAGTGTTTAAATTTATTAAAACCAATTAATTAAATTTAGAAGGATTAAATTTAAGACACATAGAGTCAGACCAAGCGATAATTGAAGAAAGACGTAGAGTGTTTAGATTTATTAAAACAAATTAATTAAATTTAGAAGAGAGACATAGAGATAGATTATATAATTCCGTTAAAAACACTATTGAGATTAGATGAAGAAAAAAAAGTATACATTAAAGAATCATCAGCATATAATTGACTAGTGAAAGAAAAATTATTAATAAAACGAGGTAGTTCTGAAGCATAGAGCATAAAAAGAAAATGTTGCCAAGGATAGAACCCCTGAGGTACCCCAAAAGTAAGAGTAGAGGAGTTAAAAGTAGAATTATTAAGAACAACAGAAGAAAAACGATTACAGAGATAAGAAAACCAAGATAGACAAAAATCAGTAATATTAAAAGAATGATCTAGCAGCCTCAAGAGTATGATCATCAATAGTATCAAAAGCAGAGGAAAAGTCAAGAGCAAGAAGAAGAGCCCCTTGTATGCGTGCGTGTGGGAAATACAGACGAGTTTACGCTATTGTTAACGACAATGTTAATTTTGGAACCAGTTTTATCGCTCAACCAGTTATCGCGCGAACAGTTGTTTATCGCTGCAACGCAAACGCCAGCAAAATAATGGAGTGGTTATTCCCAGTCCGGAATTGCGTGCTCAGGCTCACCTCACGTTTCGCAAAATGTAAACAAGCCTTCTGTTGCTGCTCGGTACAAAACTTGTTAATCCCGATCAGTAATGTCTGCGAAATTTAATTTGGGAAAAATGAAAGAAAGTAGTACTTTATTTTTTCTATGCGATATGCAGGAAAAGTTTCGTCCAGTCATTTCTTTTTATAATGAAATTTTACTTGTGGCAAAGCGATTGGTATGTTATTGTTGCGTTTTTCTTAAGCAGCTGATTTATTTTAAAATTAATTAATCATTTACAGCTGTATTTAATTTTTTTTATCATAACGCCTAATAGTGAGGAGTGTGTACAGTACAGTATTTAAGTATGATGTATGTAAATTTTACATAAAATAAACATGGTTTTAACAAAGTAAACATTTAATTTAAACAGGTAGGAAAGGATGTAAATGCAGTTGCCCTCTAATGTCTAAAGTTGACCAAAATGCAAATGCTGGGAAGTATGGTGGAAAGTAAGGTGGTACTTAGCAACAGAACTATTGAAAAAGGATTGAGCCATTGAGGAAAGCCTTAGGGGTCTTTGATTGTAAGTAAATTAAGAGTGATTTAGTTATGTATATAAAAATAGAAAAAGAGAAATGGTTAACAAAATGTAAAGACCAAAATCCAAATGCTATGAAGTATAATGAAAAATATTGTGGGAACTTAGCATTTGAACTTCTGAAAAAGGATTGAGAAGGGGTTTGTAGAGGATGGTTTAAGTGTAAATTAAGGGTGATTTAGTCATGTAAATACAAAAGGAAAAAAAGGAATGGTTAAAAAATGTAAAGATAAAGTAAAAACAAGAACCTAAAACAAACACCTTTATAGCTTGGTTGGAAGGGATGGAAAATACCAGAATGTTAAATTTATAGGTTTTTAGAATCTCCTATGTAAAGTAAATATGATTTAAATTTTAAAAATAGTGTGTTTTTTTCCAATCATTTTATTTTTAGTTAATTTTAATTAATCTATTCTCTATTGAATGAATAAAACTAGTAGTAAATGTAAAGTTAGCTGGGTTATATATTTGTTTAGTGGAATATAAACAGGCTTCTGCACGGCTTCAGCACCTGTAAACATAATGTGTTATATTACATTAGACACTACTAAACAGTCTTAATAAAATGAAATTAATTTTGAATCAATTAAAAGTTTTAATTTAAAACTTATTTACTAATGGCAATTAAAATTGCTTAAAGTAAAATAGCAATGAAAGCTATTGGGCTAACAGGAAAGGAAAGATTGAATTGAATTGATTGAATTATAAAGTTATCTTCAAACCAACTAAACTAATTTAATTGTCTTTTTTCCTATCAAACTATCTCTCAATTTCTTTTTAATTTCTTGGTTAATATTTTCTATAAACACGAATCAATACACATTGTTAAATTTTTTTATTTTAATTTTACAACACAATTAAAGGTAGAAGCGTCAAGTTGTTTGAACATTCCACTGATAGTTACAGAACAGGTTTTTTTTTTCAATTTATTTCTCGTACTTTTTTATTTGGTTTGAAATTGCAGACCATCAATTTTTAAAGAATTCTAATTTATGTCAGAATATTTTCACTCAATTATTTTTTTAACAAATCACATCACATATTTCAAGGGATGTATATAATAAAACTTGTCTTTTCAAATAAAACTTTCTATTAACCTGTAAATTTAACATTCTGGTATTTTCCATCTCTTTCAACCAAGCTATAAAGGTGTTTGTTTTAGGTTCTTGTTTTTACTTTATCTTTACATTTTGTTAACCATTACTCTTTTTCCTATTGTATTTACATGACTAACTCACCCTTAATTTAAACTCAAACCATCCTCTACAAACCCCTTCTCAACCCTTTTTCAACCATACTTCACAACATTTACATTTTGGTCTACTTTAGAAAATCTTCATTTCAACCTTTCCAACATGTCATATGACATCCCAAAAATTTAAACAATTAAACGACAATTGCAAAATTATTGAAAAGATCAAAAACAGTAATACAAATGCAATGTAAAAAAATATCAAAGAAATCACTGGAAAAAGGTCTTGTACCGTTTCTGGATGCATAATAGCTAAATCCGGTGAAGTAAACTTAGAGAAAGAAAAAGTATTTGAAAGATGGATTGAATACATTAACGATCTTTTTGATGATATCTGTAGTGAAAAGCCTCTTATTAAAAAAGACGTAGAAGGACCAAAGATAATTAAATCTGAAGTTGGTGCCGCTCTTTCCTAATTGAAATCAAATAAAGCACCAAGTTCCGATTTATAACAGCGGCGAAATTCTTGATGATCTATCCAAGTCTACTGCATTGCCTAAAAAAATTAATGCAACGGAATGTGAACTACATCGAACAATCAGTGGATGAGTCATCCAACAAAACTTCTCATGATAATTTTGATAATGAGAGCACAAAGCAAAATCAGATCTGAAATTTCAAATGTTCAATGTGGTTTTGTGATCTACCTGGAATATCTATCGAAGGTGTGAATATAAACAATGTAAGATATGCTGATGATACAGTTCTGATAGCAGATTGGATGGAAAAACTGCAAACAATTGTTTCCAAACTGGTTTTTGAAAGTGAAAGGAAAGGCTTGCAAATTAACATCAACAAAACAGAGTGCATGGTTATCAGTAAAAAACAAACCGCCCCGATCTGCTCCATAATCATTAATGGTAAACAAGTGAAACAAGTCAACAGCTTCAATTATCTCGGAAGTCTGATTACCTCTGGTTGTAAATGTGATTTGGATATCAAAAGAAGGATAGCTATGGCGAAAGATGCATATTCTAAAATGAAAAACATCCTCACCAACACTTAAATCAGAATATCAACAAAATTAAAACTGTATTAACTTGCGGCTCTGAGTCCTGGACAATTTCTAATGAAATGAGAAAAAGATTAGCGCTGCTGAGATGGGGTTTTTGAGAAAAATTATGAAAGAAGACTTGGAAGACTTTTTTTAATATTTTCTTTTGCACAAATCCGTCGTGTATATATATATATATATATATATATATATATATATATATATATATATATATATATATATATATGTATATGTATATGCACAAATCCGTCGTATATATATATATAATAATTTAATTTTTAAGTTTATTTACAAAATTGCTGGTAGATTTTAAATGTTTTGTTGGTTTCTGATAAATTATTATAATGCTGTTTTTTCTATCTGTTTTTTGCAAACGTTTGTGTTTTTGAAATCTAACTCCAGTATCCAAAAGGATTAGGTAAAACGGTTGAAGAATTGAATGTTGATCATGCCACATTGAGAGTTGAAAAGGAAGATTTTACTATGCTTGTACCTGAGGTTTTAGAATTTTTAAGAAGTCATGACCAATACAGACATATTGTTCTTTTTGGAGTTGAGGTGAACAAAGATATGATTTTAAATGAAATATCCTATTTAAAAATTGTTTCTAATTTAACTTGTTGATGTTTTTCATATAGACTCATGTTTGCATACAGCAAACAGTGATTGATTTATTGGAAATTGGTTATGACGTTCATATTGTTGCAGATGCATCCTCATCCAGAAACCAGATGGATCGAAAATTTGCTTTGCAGGTTCATCTGCTGAGCATTTATCATAATCAAGTTTTGTGAACAATATATTTATGTTTTTTTAGAGATTTCAACAAATTGGAGCATTTGTCACCACAAGTGAGGGCGTTCTGTTTCAATTGATTGGTTCAAAAAATCACCCAAAGTTTAAAGAAATTCAAAACCTCATAAAAGTCGTTGGCCCAACATCTGGTTTATTGCAATAAGACAATCAGGCATTCGTTCTTATTTTCATACAGTTTCTATTAAGCGCAATTATTTTTAAAATTTTTCTCTATTTTGCTCGAAAATGGCAAAAATTGAATTATTACTATTAATAAAAAACTTTCAATTTTAAATTTTGTAGTTTTTATTGAATATATATATATATATATATATATATATATATATATATATATTTATATATTTATATACTATAAATTTTACCGAATGTTTGGCGTTAATATGTTTGTACATTCGTTTGAATTTATACAATATTGTAAAAATTATGGTATATATATATATGTATGTATATATATATATATATATATATATTTACATATTTGTTTTTAGTTAATATATATATACCTTGAATTTACATTTTATATAGAGATTCTCGATCTTTATAAATGAATTCAAATGTATGTAAGATGATAGATGAATGTAACTTTTGGGTCAGTTCATGTTCACGTTCATTTCACTTCTGTTTAAAAGGAATTTGGCTGTCATGCCGTTCACACATGCTTGGACATGCTCATTAAACGTACAAGCTGGTACACGCACATGGTACGTCGGTTTTTGCTCCTTGAACTAAACGTTGATCTAGAAACAATGGCATCGTTACGTGATACAACAATCAATGTTCATCTGCCTCTTCATTCTCTGTAAATTATAATGATTATGTGGCCTCCAGTTTAATGACCCTCTGGCTCCTAATAAAAATTTATATCGGAGAGTAGACGATAGGGCAATTTTTTCAGGTCAATTTTTGTCTGAAACAACAACAATCATTATCATCAATCACCAATTATTATCACCAACTCCGTAGCTCATTGGCGAGCACCTCGTCATGCAGACGACGCGTATGAGAGTCTTTAACTTTGCACTGTCTTCTGATTGTTACAACAAGTTTTTACAAATTTATTTGTGGACCTATAAAATAAGAATAATTTTGAAAAAAATTTCAAGTTGTTCAATCAAGAAATTAGTGATGAAATGACAAATAGTGTTTTTGCGAATATCAATCAATTGTTTAAACGTCCATTGTCCCCATGCGGAAGTGGACACGTAGCCTCTGTCGCCAGCTTGTTCTATTCAACTATTCAAAGCATCTGCTTCGTCCAGTCCAGCAGTTTTCAAGTCTTTTCGATGATCTCAACAATCTTCAGACATTGTCTCAGTAATCGGATTCCTTGATAGGATGAACAGTTTAATGGATCGCCTTAGCCTTTATATAAGGGCAGTGTTGTGCTTAAGCTCCATTCATTTGGCATTTTCCCACAACTCCAGAACTCGCGACAGAGCTGTAATAGCTTCTTAAAACCGTAATTGCCACATGCTTTCATGATACCAACTGATAGACCCGTTGGGTCCGCAGTCTTTCCATTTTTCATAGCTTTTAAAGCAAAAAATAGTTCAGCTGCAGAGACATCCAGGATGGGGCCCTCAACTGCATCAGCATTAAAAACCACACTGATTGAATTTGTCTCATTCAATAGGCTCTTAAAATATAATCTCCATTCGTTTTTGATGCCATCTGACTTAAGTATCATTTTTTCATTGTTGTCTTAGATGCATGATTTCGACCTTGCTGCTTTCTTTGCTATGCGATACAATGACTTGATTGCTGTCCTTTGCTTTTTGCTATCCAGACTTGACATTGAATAAAGCGTTATCTACTTTTTGCTTACCACGTCAATTTTTGTCAAAACGCTCTTTTTTCCATAAAAACAAACAGCTTAACTGACTTTTAATGCCAATTACCAATAGGCTACTCCTCACAAACTCGGGGACTCGGCACTCCCTAGATCCACCACTGACTATTATTATTCCATTATTTTATAGATTGAGTTGCTTGTTACAAAATTGAAGCGACGATTTTAAATAGTTATTTGAATTTCAATAAAAATTGTTTGCAAATATTTCATTATATTTTGAAAAACAACAATTGATGTTCGAATAACACAAAACTTACAAAAAAACATCAATATAACTCTTTTTTTATATTATTCTTTAAAATATCATGATCTGACAGACGCAGAAACTGTTATATGCTAATGACACATAAACAGCGCTTGTACTAATTATTCCTAGGCCAAAAAAATATTAGCAGTATGACACTGTACATATATTTGAAATAATTAATATAGATATTACACTATTATTATTTTATATATATGTTATTATAGAAATAGCAAATTTTGCAAAAAAAACAATGAATAGATAAATAGAAAGTTTTTTGCTTGTTGCTTAGCAACATGAAAAGCAGAAAATGTTTATTGTGATTTCTTGAAAAGTCCCGTCATGGCTAATAAACAAGCCAGTCCGCTTTTAAATACGCAAAGCCAAACGACGGCCGTCATCAAGCTGGTCTTGTTCATTATTTCGAATTTATTTATTAAAAAATATTGTTTATTTTAGGAATGTCGTATTATATTTTTTTTATTTAATTAAAATATTAAATTATTAAATATTTATTTATTTTTAATTTTAATAAAATAAAATTTTGTAGATTCGACATTAATTAATTAATTTAATTAGTTAGTTACATTTTTTAAATTTTATGTTTCATTTTTAAATAAAATAAATAGAAAAAAATAAAAAATATATCACATTAATTTTAACAGATTAACTGTACAGATTAACATTATGATTATACTAATTGAATAAAAATGATTTTATTGGAGACCACCTGTGACCTATTTCATATATATATATAATTGGAAAAAGTTATTTAGAATAATTAAAAGTGATTATTTTTATTTGATATCCCATCTTATTTTTTTTAAGGTTAATAAAAATATTAAACCATGTTTGTCAGAACTGAAGAAAAAGATTGTTGATACTGATGCAAGAAAAAAGTTGAAAGAAATGTTCGTTCAAATTATTAGTTTAATTAATTTGCTCAACCAGAAATATGAATGAATACAATTTAATATGATGGTACATCAAACTCATCGTACTTTTTTTTATTTATTCTGAAAAAGTAACAAAATTAATAAAATAATAACCAGTTGGTCTAAATGTTAATTGGTCTTGCACTTTATAATGTTTATTTATTTCCATGAAAATTTGCATTTAAACATATAAATTAAATTTATATGCAAATATTATTTATAAATAATTTTTTTATTTGCAGTTGTTTAAATGAACTTGATAAAGTTTATGAACAAAAAAAACTTATAGAAAGCTTGAAAGAGGTTTATGTATTTCAAATTTAAATCGAAATATTTTTGTTTTTTATAACTGACTGACTTTATAAAAATTACCTATTTTTATTGTAGTGTTAATGATTGATTTTATTTTATTTTTAGGAAGATGAACCAAAGCAAATCACAAAATTTAATGTTAAAGTTGCACAAGAGTTGACCAAAATAAACAATTTAGAGGTGGGTGCACAACCTCATTTCCAACTTCTGTTTGCTCATGTTATGTTTGCATCTTCTAATGTTTGCCCATGTTTGCAACTTCTAATGTTTGCCAATGTTTGCAATTTCTAATGTTTGCAACTTATAATATTTGCTCATGTTTGCAGCTAGAAATGTATTTTTTGCATGTTTATCATTTCTCCAATGAAGTCATGTAACAATTTTCAATCAGGCTCATTTGAAAACCGTTGCAGAAAAACTTTTGCCGACGCCGAAGTAAAATTAATTTGAGATTTTTTTTTATAATAAATATTTTTCGTTTAAATTGGAGTAATTTTTTGCATAATGAATATTTTTTTGATGTTGTAAAAATGATAATAATTTTACAGTATCATTTTACAACTGAAATTTTCCTTTGAATGCTGATTTAATAGGTTTATATTACATGCATTTCAAAAATTGAAATGATCATGTTTAAACTTGCGTCAAAAACTAATTTTACATTTTGCATCATCAAAATATTTGTTGTTAGGAATGTGAAGATGATTTAATTTTAAAAATTACCAGAGATGATGAAAATATAGAAACACCAGAAGGTGGTGACAGAAGGAGTTCAACAAAATTGACTTCCAAATCTGGAAAAGATACAGATAACACTGGTGCAGAAGATGAACAGCCCTCTGCATCATCATCATCCGATCAAGGACTTTCTGGAAAACTGATGTCCAACACGTTGAAATCTAACGCTGATAGTGAAGGTGAAGAAACTTTACTTTGCGTATTTCTCACTAAAATTTTTTTATAAAAAATCTTTGAATCTCTTAATGAAAATATATAGCGTCTAAAACTGATGCTGACAAAGCTAAAGATGGGGATGATGGAAATAAATATGAAGATGATAACGACGACGATGATGATGAAGATGAGGAGGAGGATGAAGAAAATGAAGTTAAGGGGAGTAATCTTGAAAACCGGCCGCCTCTTGTGGCTTCACGATCTGAAACCAGCAGTGGAAAGGTGGGTGAAAGTAAAATAACTGAAAAAGCAGGCCGGGATGCCATGTTAAACCAAGTGAAACAATCTGGAGTAACTGATGACCATGATGAACGTCAAGATGATGTAAGTAAGGATGACGACGACGACGATGCTGACGAGGAAGAAACGGGCATGGACCAAAAAGAGCTCACTACGGAGAATGTTGATGAGGTACCACCATTTTTTAAATAATTTGTCGTATTTATTTATTTATTTTTACTGATTATTTTTGGTTATAACTATTTTTTGTTGTTAGATAATATTTGTTTATTATAAGTTGTTTCGTTCTTCTTTATTAGGTTGGAACCACGAATGCAGTACTGCTTACATGTCGTTATATGTCTAACATCCACACCACACGACGCACTTTGTATGCACGCGCAAGCACCACATCATACGCACAAGGTGTGTCATAGTCTTTGAGACACAGTATTCAAAATAGGTCATTGCGCAAAAACTTGGCACTTCTAGCAACTTGTGTCCTGCTTGCATCAATCCACAACAACATATTCGAAATAGCAATGTTTTTGAAGCCATTAAGGTAGAGAAAGTCACATCGTTTCAATATCTAGGGGATGTTCTGGATTGTACTGGAACAGCTGAAGCTGCCGTTCGAGCACGCATACGTGCAGCCTGGAATAAATGGCATCTCCTTGCCTCTATCTGATGCGGCGTGACATCCCATTACTACTACGGTCAAGACTTTATAAATCTGTGATACGTCCGGTGTTGTTATATGGTGCAGAAACATGACCAATGACAACCAAACTGGAACAACAACTTCACCGAACCGACATGAAAATGCTCCGATGGATGCAACGAATTAGTCTGAAGGACCACATCAAATTAACCGAAATCCTGCGTCGTGCTGGTTTAAATGATATAAAGGACGAATGCCGGCAACACCGTCTGCGGTGGTTTGGTCATGTCAAACGAAGTAGAAACAGTGCCATAACTTCTCTTGCAGATGTTGAAGTACCTGGCACACGTCCCAAAGGCCGTCCAAAAAAGTCTTTGTCGCAAACAATCGAGCAAAACATGAAAGCTCTAAATTTAAATGAAATGGATACAACTGATCGTCTAATATGGCGCAAAAAATTGGTGGCAAAAAAAACAACGTCTTACCTCGGGGGAACTGGGTCTCTGGACGCTAAACGAAGATTGATTGATTGATTCTAGCAACCGAGTTAATTCACCAAAAGAAGGTAAAGAAGAGAATTAACGGTTGTATGTTATCCGCTCCTAGGCTCGCCCTCTCTCCTGCCCCTAAATACAGGAAAAGACGATTCAACCTTGATTTTAAGAGCTTCCAGGTCAGGGTTTCGTCCTTAGCTCCTTAGCGCGACATTTGTTGATCTCGTTCGAATGGAAAAATTTTTTTGAATGAGCTGTTTTTTTTCATTAAATAACGAATTAGATTAGAATAAATAATAAATATTTTCAGCCATGGGGAAGGAAAGTTGACCAGTTAGAGGAGACATTGAAATATTATAATAATATTAAAGCGACCTCGTGCCTGGTTGATGAGCTGTTATTGTCAACTTGGACTAGGATTTATGAAGGCCACGATTAACAAATATTTCAGTTTTTGACATTTTATTATTAGTTTTGGTAAAAACAGTACTTTCAATATTAAAATATTTACTATTAAAGTACGTGGCTTTGGAAACGTTTGAAGGACAGGAAGAAGGAGATTTACCCTTTCAAAAAGGCGACGTTCTGAAAATAAAAACTAAAAGGTTAATTGATGTTGATCGTTCTGTTTATTTCATGATTATTGTTCAAAAACAGTAATAAGCTATATGAAACTGAAAAATTTGTCAGTTAGTTAAAATTTTCAACTTTTTTAATTATTTAAGCTTGTTTAAAAATTTCAGAAGTGATGGGTGGATGTTGGCAGTTGACGAGAAAGGCCGTGAAGGACTCGTTCCAGCAAACTTTCTCAAGGTTGTCTCCCTGACTGCTTGTATCTCTGATTGCTTGGTTGGATGTCTACCTGCTTGGTTGTTTCTCGATCTGCTTGGATCTCTGCCTGCTTATATTTCTATCTTTTTGTCTGCCTGTTTTTGTTTGACTATATTTTTAACAGCTTGTCAAAATTTAATTGCGCATTTTTTCAACTCATATTGGTTTTAATGAAGACATTTTATTTTGAAATTTATTTTTGTAAAAATCAACTCTGTATGATAAATAAAAATGTTTATTTTGTATTTGCTTTGCGTAATAAAATGAATATGTATGCAAACTTTCATTTGAGCTGTGGACTGAAGAGTGTTCACAAGTTTCTTAAAAGATGTACAGCTGTAAAAAAAATTTTTTAATTACAGACAAATTAAGATTAGTAAATAACAAAATAGAATACAAAATGCGATTTTGGTCAACATTTGTGATAATTGGAAAAAATCATGAGGAGCTAATTTATCAAAATTTTCAACAGTAAGATATTCAAGTTGCTTTCGTTATTTGATTTTATTCATTATATCATGTTTGTTTGAAAGTGCTGAATACAAAATATTTTATAGATGTATTTTGCTTATCTTAGTCTTCTGCAGAAACTGGTCAACGCAAAATCGATGATGACAGAGGAAATGAAGAAGAAATTGATGAGGATGAGGATGATGACGACGATGATGATAAAGTTGGTGAGATAAAAAGCGATGAGGAAGTAAATGACGATGAAGCTTATAATGACGTTGAAAATAAAGGGGATGGTCCAAAATTTAAACAGATTAATAAAAGGTTTTCGATATTTAATTTTTAATTTTATTTCATTATTTCCATTTATTAATTTTCGGATCGTTCCGGCATTGACCGTGTAGACTGAGTGTCTTTAAAGGATAACGACGATGAATTGCATGTATTTTCATTTGTTTATAAATTATTTTTACGGTATGGTTTTTCGTAATACCTAAGCGTTTAAAAGCGCCTGGTCTTGCTGCTGCAGTGACTAGATTCGAATACAGATACTATATATATATATATATATATATATATATATATATATATATATATATATATATATATATATATATCTATATACGTATATCATATGCAATGTGCTACTGAACAAACTTTAATAAAGAAAATTTATTCATCGAATAAAAAAAAATTTACTTTTTTAATTTTTTTCTCAATATAAATCTCGCTGAACCACTTTCTGTGATGAAATGCATCATTTCTAATCGACACCAGTGTGTCGGTATATGTTAATGCAATGCGCTAATTGTATGTTGTATAATTAATACTGGGGCCTCTAAGATCTTTATAAAAGGCGCTTACAAATACACTATAATAATAATAACAACAACAATAAAAATAATATTTATAGTAATAATAAAATTTGTAATGAATAAAGCGGAAATTCACTGGCGAGTCAGTTGAAACATTCTCTGGCTCACATGGTTCGTTAAATTTCATTTTTTAGTTTTTCTAAAATGTAAAAAAAATTAATTTATAAAAATTGTCCATTTAAAAGTCGAAAAGTGAGCAAAGGGAGTTAATTGACCGACTTAGCAATGTTCCTTCGGGTTATCGGTTGTCCACATTAGCCAAGTTTAAATCTGAAGGTTGTTTTTCTTAGTTGTTGGTTGATAATTTTTGTTGGCTTTGAATTATGTTGAAAGTTATTTTTAATTACCTTCTGAAAGATTGCGCAAATTGTATGTGTACATTGGATTTTCGTATGGTGGTCATCATAATATTAGAGAGGCCTTAAAAGAATACAGTGACTGTAAGTTCAGACGTCTGTGAGGTCAGGTCACTTTTGCTCTAATCAGCTGAAGATAGTTCGTGATGTGTGAGGTTTGTTGCCAAATTTGAGTCGGATTGGAGTATTAAATTAAATTAAACAAACAGACCATGCTACGGAAATCAAGAATTTGATTATGAACCGATGACACAGAGGGCTCGGGGTTTGGAGGAAATCTTGGTAGATTGTTGGAGCTTGGCGAATTTTTGTGTTGCGTGTATGCAAGTGGTGTTGGATTGAATTCTAGTAAAATGAAATTGCGATAAATAAATAAATCAATAAATGCGATAAATGTTTTATAATGAAGAGAGACTTACGAGAAGAAATGGATAAGGTAAGATACGAAAACTGGCCTTGAAAAATTAGATCCTATTCGGTATTTGATTGATGTTTTTGGTAAGTCTGAAAGACCACAACAAATCTACCGAAAATCCTGCGTCGTGCTGGTTTAGATGATATAAAGGACGAATGCCGGCAACACCGTCTGCAGTGGTTTGGTCATGTCAAATGAAGTGGAAACAGTGCCATAACTTCTCTTGCAGATGTTGAAGTACCTGGCACACGTCCCAAAAGCCGTCCAAAGAAGTCCTGGTCGCAAACAATCGAGCAAGATATGAAAGCTCTAAATTTAAATGAAATGGATACAATTGATCGTCTAATTTGGCGCAAAAAGTTGATGGCAAAGAAAACAACGTCCTACCTCGGGAAACCGGGTCTCTGGACGCAAAACGAAGATTGATTGATTGATTGTTTTTGGTAAAAATGTTGAGACTGATTGCAATAATAAGTTGTAAGGAACTGTAATATAAAGTTGAAGAAACTAAGACCTTTTTTATGTTGAAGGAGTTTAATGTGGGTCGTGCGTCTGTCTGAAGTTGTTCAGTTTGCAAGAAATTATGTCGTCAATAAGTAAAAATTTTAAAAACAAATAATAAGAAGAAAGTGTGACTGAAGTTGTTGAAGACAGTAAAAGATTGAAACGTTATAGGTACAATACTGAAGACGCATAAAACAATTTTAAATAAAAGCTTTGAATGTTGAAGTTTTGCATTTTTTTTAAATATAAATGGTTTTGGTATAGGATAATGCTTGAAAGGGAAGTGCTTAGAAACTATTGTTTAGAATTTTGATTTAGTTCTTCAGTATTGATTTCGAATTGCTTATTAGGATTATATTATGTACTATCTATCACTCATGCATATTATTGTTCGTGATGAAACGATAAAAGTTTTTTTTACAAATTTTTAGCACGCTACTCTTTGAAATATGTTCTCCATCCAAAGCTGAGTAAATCAGGTTTGATTTACAAAGATCTCTTGATGCTCCCTGTCACAAACGAGGTCATCATAACTGATTCAGTTCATTTATTAGATTTGAGAATTTTTTCCATGATATTTTAGTTATTATAAAATGTTTTTTTTTCATAAAATACGCAATCTTCCCACATTTCTTTTTCTACTTAATTGATTGCAAATTAAATCTTTGAGCCACAAAGACTATAAAATTCACACTGCACACAATATGTACGATTGTCGTTGTTTAATTATATTTTTAAGTAATGCTGTGTGTCCGCATTTTCTGCTGTAAAGCAATTTAAAACAAAAACTCAGAAGTTTATAAAAAGCAACTATTAATTTTTTTAAACAACAACGTTTTGTTAGTCAAAAATTATTCTTTATTTTGGCTTCTTTGAATTTCAAACATTGATTATTAAGATAACATCCTTGCTGAACCCTTCCTTGAACATTGATCTTTTAAGATGCTGCCAATGAGGTGCAGATTTCAATCGATCATCAAGTTGTTGTCCATCAGAAATATTCCTCTGCCGAGCAGTCAATCAGGTTTCTTCCATATTTAATTTATATTATTATTGTTTACATTACTATTGGTTGTTTATTGAATTTTTGTCTATGATGTTACTTTGTTTGTTTCTTCATTGTGATAAAAAGCTAAATTCCAGTTGATTGCAAATATCAATCAATCAATCTTCGTTTTGCGTCCAGAGACCCGGTTTTCCGAGGTAGGACGTATGCAAATATACATAGTATAAATAATGCATTAGCTAACCCGGCGCGCCTTGTAACGTCTAAGAAATATTAAATGTTGTATTAATAGCAGAGTTTCATTAACTTGGATAAAAAACAAAATGAAGTAATTAACATGACACATAACATGACGTCACTGGAGTGTGTCGTGAGTAAATTTAATGAAAAAATTTGCGGTGTCAAGTCCTCATCGTAGATCGGATGATTTGCCATTTTGCTCCTACTACTTCTACTATCAATATTACAACTACTAACAATTATAACAGCAACAATAATGATAAACATTAACATATACCGATGTATATATTTTTTATGGACCTGCTCGTGCTGGTCTATACACGCGTAGTATGCGTATGCGTATTGTTTGGTCTATTTGTATTACATTTCTAATGAATATTTCAAGAACCAAGCTTATACTCACCCACATGTTCACGTAGGAATGCAGTGTTCGGAGGGTTTCGTTCGCATCTGCCTGTTCGATGGACAGAAAGTAATTAAATATTTGTATTTTTTTTTTAATAAAATAATTATTATTTAAATTTATAAATATTAATTGTTATAATATAATAATAAAATATATATTGACCATAATAACTACTGATCGTTATAATACTAAAATATAGGTAGTCAATAAAGGGTATTACGTTTTTTTCTATCTATCTGGAACTTTTTATCTTTTTATAATGCAACTCTGTCATACGCAGAACTGCTTACATGTTATTGTATACTTATAATTAAATATCGTGCCACAACGGCTGTACACTATCCACACCACACGACGGTACATACACATTCTGTATGCAAGCGCAAGCACCCCATCATACGGGTATGATGGTCTTTGAGTTTTGGTCAGACCCTATATGAACCATGCCATCGCGTAATAGCAGCACGAGACATGGCACTTCTATTGACTGAGCTAACTCGGTGACCTTCCTGTCTTCCATCTAGCTGGCACTGCCTTCTATTTAGCTGGCACTGCCTTTTATGTAGCTGGCACTGCTTTCTATCTAGCTTGAACCGCTTTCCATCTAGCTGGAAATTCCTTTTATCTAGCTGGAACTGCCTTCTGTCTAGCTGGCACTGCTTTATATCTAGCTGGCACTAGCTGAGTAACTTAACAATAAAAACAACATGAACCATGAAAAATATTAGACTGGAACTGCCTTCTATCTAGCTGGCACTGTCTTCTATCTAGCTGGTACTACTTTCTATCTATCTAGCACTACCTTCTATTTAACTGGCACTGCTTTCTATCTAGCTGGCACTGCCTTCTATCTAGCTGGAACTGCTTTCTCTCTAGCTGGAACTGTCTTCTATCTAGCTGGCACTGCCTTCTATCTAGCTGGCACAGCTTTCTATTTAGCTGACACTGCCTTCTATCTAGCTGGCACTGCCTTCTATCTAGCTGGCACTGCTTTCTATCTAGTTGGAACTGCCTTCTATCTAGCTGGCACTCCTTTCGTTCTAGCTGGCACTAGCTGAGTAATTAACAATAAAAACAACATGAACCATGAAAAATATTAGACTGGAACGGCTTTCTATTTAGCTGGCAATGTCTTTTATCTACCTGGCACTGCCTTCTATTTAGCTGGAACTGCCTTTTATCTAGCTGAACTGCTTTCTATTTAGCTGGAACTGTCTTCTATCTAGCTGGCACTGCCTACTATCTAGCTAGCACTGTCTTCTATCTAGCTGGCACTGCTTTCTATTTAGCTGGCACTGCCTTTTATCTAGCTGGCACTGCCTTTTATCAAGCTGGAACTGCTTTCTATCTAGCTGGAACTGTCTTCTATCTAGCTGGCACTGCCTTCTATCTAGCTGGCACTGTTTTCTATCTAGCTGGCACTAGCTGAGTAACTTAACAATAAAAACCACATTAACCATGAAAAATATTAGACTGGAACGCTTTCTATCTAGCTAACACTGCCTTTTATCTACCTGGCACTGTCTTCTATCTAGCTGGAACTAACTTTTATCTAGCTGGAACTGCTTTCTATCTAGCTGAAACTGCCTTTTATCTAGCTGGAATTGCTTTCTATCTAGCTGGAAGTGCCTTCTATCTAGCTGGAACTGCCTTCAATTTAGCTGGCACTGCTTTCTTTCTAGCTGGCACTGCCTTCTATCTAGCTGGCACAGCTTTCTATTTAGATGACACTGCCTTCTATCTAGCTGGCACTGCCTTCTATCTAGCAGGCACTGCTTTCTATCTAGTTGGAACTGCCTTCTTTCAAGCTGGCACTGCTTTCTATTTAGCTGGCACTAGCTGAGTAACTTAAAAATAAACAGAACATGAACCATGAAAAATATTAGACTGAAACTGCCTTCCATCTAGCTGGAACTGCTTTCTATCTAGCTGGAACTGTCTTCTATCTAGCTGGCACTGACTTCTATCTAGCTGGCACTGTTTTCTATCTTGTTGGAACTGCCTTCTATCTAGCTAGCATGCTTTCTATCTAGCTGGCACTAGCTGAATAACTTAACAATAAAAACCACATAAATCATGAAAAATATTAGACTGGAACGCTTTCTATCTAGCTAACACTGCCTTTTATCTACCTGGCACTGTCTTCTATCTAGCTGGAACTGCCTTTTATCTAGCTGGACTGCTTTCTATCTAGCTGGAACTGCCTTCTATCTAGTTGGAACTGCCCTTTATCTAGCTGGAACTGCTTTTTATCTAGCTTGAACTGCCTTCTATCTAGCTGGCACTGCTTTCTATCTAGCTGGCACTGCTTTCTATTTAGCTGGCACTGCCTTCTATCTAGCTGGCACTGCTTTTTATCTACCTGGGACTGCCTTTTCGCTAGCTGGAACTGCTTTCTATCTAGCTGGCACTGTCTTCTATCTAGCTGGCACTGTTTCCTATCTAGTTGGAACTGCCTTCTATCTAGCTGGCATGCTTTCTATCTAGCTGGCACTAGCTGAGTAACTTAACAATAAAAATCAAATGAACCATGAAAAATATTAGACTGGAACGCTTTCCATCTAGCTAACACTGCCTTTTATCTAGCTGGAACTACCTTTTATCGAGCTGGACTGCTTTCTATCTAGCTGGAACTGCCTTCTATCTAGTTGGAACTGCCTTTTATCTAGCTGGAACTGCTTTCTATCTAGCTTGAACTGCCTTCTATCTAGCTGGCACTGCCTTCTATCTAGCTAGCACTGCTTTCTATCTAGCTTGAACTGCCTTTTATCTAGCTGGCGCTGTTTCTATCTAGCTGGCACTAGCTGAGTAACTTAACAATAAAAACAACATGAACAATGATAAATATTAAACTGGAACTGCCTTCTATCTATCTGGCACTGCTTTTTATCTAGCTGGAACTATCTTCTATCTTGCTGGTACTACTTTTTATCTAGCTGGCACTGCCTTCTATCTAGCTGGCACTGCTTTCTATCTAGCTGGCACTGCCTTCTATCTAGCTGGAACTGCTTTCTATCTAGCTGGAACTGTCTTCTATCTAGCTGGCACTGCCTTCTTTCTAGCTGGCACTGCCTTCTATCTAGCTGGCACAGCTTTCTATTTAGCTGACACTGCCTTCTATCTAGCTGGCACTGCCTTCTATCTAGCAGGCACTGCTTTCTATCTAGTTGGAACTGCCTTCTATCTATCTGGCACTTCCTTCTATCTAGCTTCCACTGTTTTCTATCTAGTTGGAACGTCCTTCTAACTAGCTGGCACTGCTTTATATCTAGCTGGCACTATCTGAGTAACTTAACAATAAAAAAAACATGAACTATGAAAAATATTAGACTGGAACTGCCTTCTAACTAGCTGGCACTGCCTTTTATCTAGCTGGCACTGCCTTTTATCTAGCTGGAACTGCTTTCTATCTAGCTGAAACTGCTTTTTATCTAGCTGGAATTGCTTTCTGTCTAGCTGGAACTGCCTTCTATCTAGCTGGAACTGTCTTCTATCTAGCTGGAACTGCTTTCTATCTAGTTGGAACTGCCTTCTATCTAGCAGGCTTTGCTTTCTATCTAGCTGGCACTAGCTGAGTAACTCAACAATAAAAACAACATAAACAATGATAAATATTAAACTGGAACTGCCTTTTATCTAGCTAGCACTGCCTTTTATCTAGCTGGCACTGCCTTTTACCTAGCTGGAACTGCCTTTTATCTACCTGGCACTGCCTTCTGTCTAGCTGGAACTGCCTTTTATCTAGCTGGCACTGCTTTCTATCTAGCTGGAACTGCCTTTTATCTAGCTGGAACTGCCTTCTGTCTAGCTGGAACTGCCTTCTATCTAGCTGGAACTGCCTTCTATCTAGCTGGCACTGCTTTCTATCTAGCTGGCACTGCTTTCTATCTAGCTGGCACTGCTTTCTATTTATCTGGAACTGCCTTTTATCTATCTGGAACTGCCTTCTATCTAGCTGGCACTGCCTTCTATCTAGCTGGCACTGTCTTCTATCTAGCTGGCACTGTTTTCTATCTTGTTGGAACTGCCTTCTATCTAGCTAGCATGCTTTCTATCTAGCTGGCACTAGCTGAATAACTTAACAATAAAAACCACATGAACTATTAGCTGGAACTGCCTTCAATCTACCTTCTTCATTTTTCATAACGGATATGATGAAATTATTCATTTATTGGTAAAATTTATTTTTTTGTTTTTTTTAAATTTTTTATTGTAATTTATAACAGTATTAGTTAATTTAATTTAATATTTTTTATGGTTGATGTTGTTTTTATTGTTAAGTTACTCAGCAACATATCAACGATCAAAGTCCAGAAGTTGGATGTCAATGCGAGTGAATGGAATTTCGGCAATCAGGTACTTGCTGACTGGCTGTGTGTTTCAATATTATTATATAGTAAGCATGTTACATCGTCGTAACTTCAAATAATAAAAATGGAACAAACAACACCGCAGTCATCTAGTTCCTGCCTGGAATGTGCCGATCTTTTCCTGAGAACCAACTCAACATCACAGAGCATCGGCTTGCTGTGCGAACTCACTCTTCTGTTAGCCACTGATGTCCGGTTTTAAATCTGTTTTTAATTTTGATTTTCATGTTTTTAAAAACCGCTAAAATGTAATTTTATCAGCTGCATTTGTTTCTTTATTGATGGATGTTATGTGGAACCGGAACCTGGCGGTTGATGGACGATCCGGCATTACTGAGTGTCGAAATGTGCGATATATATTTTGCTGCGTTTTATTTGAGTTTGACAAACTTGCATCACCTTTTAATTTCAGCATTCAACGTTGATTGTTCGTTATTTGTTCCACAGAATGACCTTCAGGCGTTCCTAAAACGGCGATAAGCATTAATTAGCTGGAGTTCATTCAACTATAAGTATTTGATCGCCAGTCGCTCATTCGATCAAACGATAAATAACGATAATTTTTGCAAGCGGTATTCGTTAATGGCGTGATGCAGTTTTGATTGAAATGTCTGCACTACAATGGGACTATATAAAAAGCTTTGCCTCGATAGGCGCTGTGATCTTTATTACAAACACATGAACAGTTTATAATGTTGGAGATGTCGTGTGGTTGGTCGTTCATCAAACTACTGAATGACAACGGAACCCTAATTGCCAACAAGTGAGATTCATTGATCTTATTTATTGATCTTAACTGGCGTGTTTTTATTTAGTTTCATCGAGGTTATACTGTCAAAACAATACTGCAGCAAGACGCGATTGCAAACAAAACCGAACATATCAAGACAAGACACAAACAAGCAACACAAACACATAACATGACAACACGCAGAGCGTACAGATTGCCAGTGAATGGAGGCTCACCATTTGAGAAGGGCGTGCCATTAGACAGGGGTTCAAATCTTTCTCTCGGTAAGTTCGGCAGAAATAAAAGCGAGCCACCGCGCTCCTCAATGATCGTCTCGTTCTTGTTCATCGCATTTTATATTCGTATTATTTCACTGCAAACCCACGAAGTTAATGGACGCTTTTGTTACTACAATTTTAATTTTTAAATGTTGACGACGAGTATGTTTTGTGACGCACCAGCAGCCCTACCACCAACACACTCTCACCAACAAAACAGCAGCCAGCAAGTTTTCTCTCTCCAGCAAATCCAAAGGACCTCCCATGATCAGCATCAAAATGATCTCTCCATCCAAGACTCAAACACGTTATATAGAGTAAGAAACTTTGTTCATTTGTTTGTACGTTCGTTCATTCACTCGTTCATTCAATTCCTCGTGAAATGTTTGCACCATGTTCAGTCGTCTTCGTCGAAGCATTATTACAATCAGAAGAAAATATTTCTGGTCCCGGGTACTTTTTCACAATTTTAACTTCTTAGTTGTGATGGTGATTGTTTCGTGCCCATGATCGCTAATAAGCTATCGATCGAGCTTTCAGTTGATGACTGTCGACAACAGCCACAACCACCACAACCACAACTACAACCACCACAACAACCACCACAAAAACCACCACAACAACCACCACAACAACTGCAGATGTCTTCCTGAGCCAATCGTCGGACCAACCTGCCACCTGGAGTATTTCTTCTACTTGAGGCACATCATGCTCGATGTTCAAGTCAGGTTCAAGACTAACCTGCATTCAACTGGTGGGTTTGCTGTTACGACCTTTCATTCATTCATTCATTCATTCATTCATTCATTCATTCATTCATTCATTCATTCATTCATTCATTCATTCATTCATTCATTCATTCATTCATTCATTCATTCATTCATTCATTCATATTCATTCATTCATTCATTCTTTCTTTCTTTCTTTCTTTCTTTTGGTCATTCATTCATTTACTTGTTTGTTCATTAATCAATCAACTCATTCACTCATTCATTCATTAATACAATTCATTCTGTTTATTCATTCATGATTGGATGATTGTTGTGTTGCGAATAGCAATTATTTGGAGAAAATGAATGACTAGTTGTTCTATTTTTCTCTAGTTCAGGTTGTGTTGGTTGAACAAGTGAAAAAATTAATAAGAATGAATGAATGAATGAACAAACGTTTTCATTATTATTTCTTTCCGACCATAATTGATTTGCGTTCTTTTGTTTTGAGTTGTGGAGTCACTTTGAAACAGTGCCTATTACTAATGCAAATATTTTTTAACAATTGTGGGAACAAAACTATAATTAACTCGCCACAGACCCAGTGCATTCTCCGTTGCTGTCATCGTTTCTGGACGCTGCTGAGAGGGCTGAGTTGATGGATGTATTCACGGTAGGTTCCTTCTCTTTCCTTCTATACAGTTCACTCCATCTCATCCATTCACCTCATTCATCCATCTATCACATTCTTTCATTCATCTCGTTCACTCCACCCAATTCATCTGCTGTATTTCATTCCTTCCAATATATTCAATATTGGATAACATTTCCAAAATCTACATACACGTTTATATCCTGACAAGTCACTCCATCAAACATCATCATCGTACTGTTCTTATTAACAACTTTCAAAAGCCGGTGAACCAAACCAAGCAGGCATGTTTAGTTTGATGGGCACATTATAATGATAACTTCGATAAATGACGAATGATTCCAAACCTTTCACATTCACTGCAGTCAGCGTGGTCAGCCAAAATGAAGAGCATGTCGAGGAGTGAAAAAGTAAACATTTCTGATCCATTTTCATGTTGTCGTGATAGATAAACAGATGCTACTTATAATGTTAATAATAGGAAATAGGAATAAATTTGGCGCATTGTTTATGATTTTTGGACAGAAGTCATTGATCCAGCTGAAGAGGACATTCACATTCGTCTTCATGGAGAGTGTCTACCCCCTCCTCCACATCTGCCATCTCGACAGTCTGCCCCCGTACGATGTCACTCACTACAAGGTGATCACTTCGGTGCCTTCGTAAATTACGATTTATGAGCTTGCGTGTGTGTGTGTTTGTGTATGTAAATGTGAGTGAGTGTATGTGTGCACAACAGCCACAACTGCTGCCTCCCTGCCAGGCGAGACAAGAACAAGTCCTGTTTGCACTGACAGCCACCACAGTGCTTCCATCCTCACTTCCAACTACAACAACAACGGCAAAGGGGACCTCGAACAGCAAACAGCGTTTGGCGGGCATTGACCTGCTGACCAGTCCATTCGTACTCTACGAACCTTTCGACACCCAGGAACTCATCTTCAATCCGGTCGATGAACGCCTCATCCTGAATTATTTTTAAATTCATGAACTGTTATTTTGAAAATTCAATTTCCATAAATTATTTTATCTTTGATAACGTTATTTTTTTTTATAGAAAAATTATTGCTTAAAAATGTGATCGATAAAATTTTATACCTAGAGTTATAACGATTACAAATAACTGTATTTGTAAGCTTATAATTTTAATAATTTTATAAGATTCAGTTTAAATTAGATTAGTTTAGATTAGTTTGTTCAAAAATTTGCATTATATTATCTCTCAAGTTGTTTTTTATCCGCAATTAGAAATGGAGTCATGTTGGTTTTCTCAAAGCAGTGAAAATTTTGGGACATCCAACTTATCACTGCTTCAGATTTTAGACTTCAAACTGATGTAGACGTTATAACTAAACTTTCGGACCAATGGTTCAGACAACTATAATTCAATCAATATAAAGATGCAATATTACAAAAAAATAAAATTGAATAAAAATTAGCGTTCGGATAAATATCATAAAAAATGCTGGTTTTAAGAGAAAATTGTTACAAAAATGTGGAATAACCAAAAAGGCAACTTTGCACAAGAATTTTCAGACTACTTATTGGTATATCTGAGAATTTTATTAAATGTAGAAATTTGTCGTTGGTTTTAAGCAGGAAGAACAACCAAGTTGAAAGAAGTCATTGTGATAAATTAACGAACAAACAAGCCATGGAAATGAGCAATGTGTGAGACTGAAATAACCCAATGTTTTAATAAAAATAGTGTGCGTGCCGACGTGCAATGTTGGAACCGTTTTCGCGATGAAAAATGTAGAACTTAGTGATAAAAAGTAATTAATAATATTTAAAAATAATTAATCATTTGGAGAAAAAAGAGAGAATTAAAAAAAAAAAATAAATAATAGTTAGTCTTTTTACTGGTTGTGCGAATGGGGCTAGAGAAATAAAAATAAAAAATGAAATGAATAAATAAATAAATAAAAAGATAAATAAAAATGAAATGAACAAAGTGTTAAGATAATATTGCTTATAAAGAGGATCTAATAGTAGAACAGAATAATAAAAATGAAAACGCATTAATGTAGGTGCGTGTGCGTCTGTGTGTGCGTGCACGCGTGTGTGTGCGCGTGTGTTTGTTGCTATCTATAACCAACATATTTTTATTCTGATTGATTGATTTTTTGTTCTTTGCTCCTTGTTTAACGGCCCTTCAGCACGTAACCAGGCTATCTTTGAACCATAGTTTTATTTATATTTTGCTTTTTATTCGTGTGACAAGTTGTTTTAGCTTGACGTTAATCTTTTTTTCTGATTTAATATTTTAATGTTTTTTGTCAGATTATTTTAATTTTTTATAAATTGGTGATGATTTATGTGTCGGTTATTGAAGGTGACTTATTGTAGATGTTCTGCTGTTGAGATTTTAATTTTTCCAGAGAAATTGTATTTCTTTCAATGCTATCAATAATCTGACTTTGATTTTCTGTATGCTAGTGGTTTCTAATTTTAATTGATGATTTAAAAAAATACACCAATGTTTTTATGTTAAAGATTGGAAGTTGGATGGTTTTTCAAAATATAAGTTTAACTGAAACTGACCTTTTCGAATACTTGCTTGGTTTTGTTGTTTATTTTGTTATTACTTTTTAATATTAGGTATTTATGTGGCGTTCAAGATTTAATTTTTGGTCCGGAATTCTTCTTAAATACTTGTATTCTGATGTACATGTTAGCATGTTTTCATCAAATTTCAATCTTGGATACACTTCATTTCTTTTTCCAGATAAAACACAATTTTTGTGCATGAAGAGAATTTCCCATTTAGTTTTGACACTATTTCTGTTCTTCCAGATTTCTTCATTTGTATCTTTTTCTTGGTTGGTGTCATTCTTATGTTACTGCAGGTCATCTATGGATAATAAAACTAAAACTTTATTTGGTGAAACTTTCGTAATGGAATACATGTATAAACTAAAGTATGTTAATATCTCTTTTCAAGTTTTTTTCACGTGACGTTTAGTTCTGTTTACGTTTCACTGTTAACTAGGTATATTGTAAATAAGTGGTGTTTACAGAGAATGGAAGAGACTATAAAAAAAATGTGGAGCCTGCAAATCACGTTTCTGGTAGCTTATTTTCCAGTGCAACCCTATCCACACCTTTCCACAGGTTAAGAACTTTTACTATATATATATATATATATATATATATATATATATATATATATATATATATATATATTTCGATTTTGGCTTTTGACTCAGCAACAGTGTTTTCGATATTCTCCGTATTTTTCTAAAGTTTCATAGGATATTATAGAGTGTTCGATTTAATTTTGATTTCGTTTTATAGTATAAATTTAGAAGACTAAGAGGATATAAATTTTGTTCAGTTGGTTGTTTGCAATTTAATTTTGTTTTATTTTTCACTATTTCTTGGTTTAAATTTTGAATTCGCGGTAATAAAGTTAAAGTTGTAAACAATAAAGGATAGTTGATAGAAGTTGCACTGTTTTGAAAGTTGAAGTGTTTTGTTTTTTTTTGTTTTTTTTGTGTGTGTGTTTATTCTTGCGGACTGCTAACTTTCTAAAGACATTTGAAATACAATTTTATAAGTTGACTTGCAAACATTTTTTTTGAAATAATAATGTGCTAGAAATGTAGAAGATAAAGACACAATTCAGTGCTTTCAATGTCAACTTGCTTTTCACCAAGACTGTGTCGGAATAAGTAAATCAGCTTTCAAGGTTATCAGTTCCGTGCCTAATATTAAGTGGTATTGTGATGAATGCATGAAACTACTTCATGACGTAAAGTCATTAAATAAAGCTGTGCATGATAGCAATGATGCGCTCAACACTAAAATTGACAAAAATGATGAATCGAACAATTTGTTGAGGAGCGAACTTGAAGCTATCAAAAGTTTAATTCAGAGAAATGTTGATGGGGCGGAAAGATTCGACGGCACAGATTTGAGTACCGAGCTGTGTAACCTTAAAAACGATTTGAGCAAAAGTTTTGCCGATGCTGTCCGATGCGAAGTGAAGAAAAATATTGAACTAGTTAATGATGAGGTAAAAAGTGTTCAAAAAACTTTAACCAAGGTAAATGACATGAAAGAAAGCAAGTCTAACAAAATGATGTTCAATTTACAATAAACTGATGATGATAAGGAATTATTAAAAAGTTATCCAGTGAAGTCAAGGATCAGGATATTGAAAGAATTGTTAGACTGGGTCCAAAAGCTGAAACTAAAATTAGACCGGTGCTGATTGAAATGAGGAGTTGTGCAATTAAAGATTTAGTCTTAAAAAATTCTTTTAAATTAAAAACTATGCATGAAGATCTTCATAAACTATGGATCAGTCATGATTTAACAGTTGATCAGCGTGCCGAGTTAAAAAAAACTAATTGATGAAGCCAAATCAAGAAAAATCTCGTGCCCAGGTTTTTTATTCAAGGTGAGGGGAGCGGTGGGAAGGTGGCGGATTGTCAAACTCAAAAATCTATAAAATAGAATAATGTTATGAAATAATTGTGCCAAAATATATTTATTTTAGCCAAGGTGACGCATTCATAGAGTCGACGCCACTGCAGAAAACTGTAGTTCGCAGTAGTTCGTTAGTAGTTCAGTAGTTCGCTGCGGTAGCTACACGTTTAAATAATTAAATAATAGTTAATGTTTTGCTGTGAAAATTAATTTTAGCAGCGATGTTTCGCGATGATACATTAAATTATTTACTTGGATGCATTGCAGAGACAACATGGAAATGTCCGCTGGGTTTTTGGAGGTGCAATGATTTGGAGTGCATCAGGTCTGAATACATCTGTGATGGTCTGGTTGATTGTTTCGACGAGAGCGATGAAGCATCCAGCCTCTGCAACCAAAGTAAATCAATGCTAGACAGAAAAAACTGCATTCACTTTCAAACACTTGTCTATTAATTAACTTCAAAATCTATTTAAATAGTGTCTGTTAAAATATGGAATCAACATAATAAATGACTAAACGAATAAAATAAAAAAAATAGTATTATAAAAATATGAGAGCTCAACACCCTTTTAACAAAATGTACAGTAATTAAATTATCAAAATCCTGCTAAATAAAAATTTTAAATGATTGCAATGATTTACAGCCAAAATTTAAAATTTTATGATTTCTTTTATTTGTACTTCAGCATTTTTTGAATTACCACTCACTATATAACTACCCGCTAAATTGTCCCCTGTTAAATAACTCTCTCTAAATTAAATAACCGCCAACCAGATTGCACGGTGTCCGAGTTCAAATGCATAGACAGATCGATGTGTCTGTCGTTCAAGCGGTTATGCAATGGCGTGCAGGACTGTGTCGATGGCTCCGACGAAAGATCGTGTGCAAGTCAGTTCAAGAGTTGTTTTGGCGCAGTTTCCTAATTTTATTTGTCACAATATTGAATGGAAGTGATTCACTCAGGCAAAATCATCGACGAATTTTTCGTCAAAAAATATAAATATAACTGCATAGTTTCAATGGAAAATATACATAGGCTTCTGCTTCTTTGTTACCCCAAGGCAGTGGGGGATCAAAACAAGGGCCAATATTTTGAAAATGTAGTCAAAATTTGGCTGGTGACCTTTTTGTGCTTTTTCTGTTCAAAAACTGAGTTTTACTGACTTTTTAAAATAATGCTCACAACGGGCCCCACTAAATCCGCCGCTGCTCCAAAATTTCAAACCTTGCCATGGTACAAATATAACCTTTAATTGATGAAAAAATTTGAAGTGAATTATTTATTTGTTGTCCTTGTCTTAATATATTCTATGTAAACTTTCTACCAAAAATGAGTTCATAAAGTTCATCTGAAATTCGATGTCCCTTCATTTCGGAGTCGGATGTAAAGGTGTGCAATGGAAAATCTGCGACAGGGAAGAGGGGAGGTTTCTGAGAATTTCCAAATGTGTTTATGTTGACGACGATTTTTTAATGTTTTCTATTGCAACGGGTATTTTTTACATGCATTGTCGGTAAAAATTAAAAACCTATCGTAATCTTTCCTGTGGAGGCCCCGAGGCAGAAACTCGGCCTGCCCTTCTTTAAACTTGGCCCCATGTTTTCATGTTTCAACGGTCATGATTTTCTAAAACAATGTTGTGTAATTTTGATTTCATTTTAATGTTAATCATGCAAAATTCCCGAATTTTCAAATAGTGGAAAATTTTGAGTATGATGATTTGAGCATGCGATCCACCAAGAACCAAATCATAAATACATAATTCGTTAATTCGTTGTGGCAATGATGAATGATGAGGCGTTTAATCTCATGTATGGGTGTAGAATGCCACTGCTAACTAAAAATTTGGATGAATCAAGCAAGTGTGAACTTGATGTGAGTGGGAAGATGGTGAACGTGATGAGTGGGAAGATGGTGAAAGGCCATGCAAAACATCTGCAGCTTGCCTTCGGGAGATGGAGTGTGCCAACAAGAAGTGCATCAGCAAGAAGCAGGTCTGTGATGGATTGAATGACTGCGGTGACTACAGTGATGAAGTTAACTGTCCTGGTAAATTATCATCTACCGTTTTAGATAAATAAAATTTGGATGGCAAGATGAAAAAATAACAAATTCATCGATTAATAAATAACGAATGAGTGAATGATGGATTGAATGGACGATGACCGCCATCCACTACAATGGGCATGTCAAATTCACCTACCATTAAAGACCACTTCAAAATTTACGCCTGTACCTGGAGACCACTTTAAGAATCCGAACATTTGTAAAATGTTATATTGCTTCGATATTGTCATATATCGTTAACGATTTTTGTATTTTGATTTAAAGGTTTTAACAAAAACTGAAAACTCTAAATCATAAAGCCACTGACCATTCTGCAGCGTATCCAATTTTTTTATTTTAAATAAGCAACTTAGTTTCAGAATAGAGACCATCACTTTGTGACCTACTGCATGTAGTAAAACGACGGACGCGTGCTGTTATGCTGTGCTTGACGCGCCTGGAGTAAAAAAAAAATTGCAGTTTACTAAATATCAATCATCCAACAACAATCATCAAACAACAATTATAGAACAATAAGGAACTAAAATGTTTCACAATCTTGAAATTATTTTCTGCAACTTTACACAGACGATCCTTGGAGATGGCTGGGCTGAAAATCGAATTCATTCATTCATATATTTCTTTCTATTTCCATTCACTTGTTATTGTTTGTTTTAAAACATATGAACCGTTTCATTTTGCTTTTTGCATCATTAATTTGATTAATTCAAGTTGTTTCGTTGATCTATCTATGTTTTGAGGAATAAGTTTTTTTAACTTAAAAATTACTTCAGTAAAGAAAGAAACAAACGACGGCAACCGTAATTAAATGATTTGTTTATTATGATCAAATTTATTAATTTTAATTATTAATTAACTAAGTGAAATTAATAAATTATTTAATGAGGCCCCTAACGCAAAGTTGCAGCTTCGTGAAGGCTATCGAGAACAAACCTTCAAACCTTAGAAATGTTTCATCAAGTTTAACATTTTCACTACGAGTTTGCCTGAAAATTTCAAAGCAGCGTTTTTTCACGCAAGGAAGTATGCATGGACTGAAAAAGATTTTCGCCCTGGAATGAATGAAAGAGGTTGATCTTCCTTAATATGGCGGGAAGTTGAATAGAAATGTGGCATATTATGAACTATAAAAAAGCTCGGCAGTGTTAGCATAACTGATCGAGACCAATGCAGTGACCCTGGACATATTCAAAATCATTTCATCATTTCAGGAAAGATTTGTGAATTGAGGACATATTTTATTTTATGGAAAAAATTATAAAGTTATAAAACGAACAAATAAAAATAAATTAATATTATTTTAATTGAATTCATTCTGAAGACTGTTAAGGCAATATTTGTCAGACGATGATTTGAAACAGACAGTAATGTTGGTTCACGCGCAAAACGAACACTGCATGCATTCTCTTATAAAAATCAATTCGCGAATTGACAGTTGTCAAAAATTTAAATGATCGAGAGAGTGTTGCTAAAAGATGGAACGAATGGAGGACGAACAAATGAATGAAGAAAATGAACGAACAAACAAATGTACTAATTGAACAAACAAATGAACAACTGAACTAACAAATGAGTGAATAAATTGAGCAAACAAATAAACTAATGATAATAGTAAATAAAAGAGAAGTAACAAAAAACTCATTTCAAATAACGTGAAGACATTTTTAACATTTTAAAAGCCAGTAATTCCGTAACTTACATAACATTTAATTTAAAGATGATACAGACAGACTGGTCAGATGAATTATTATTAGAAAGCTATGTTCGAGCCACGCATACAATTTTGAGGAGTTAGTTCATTTTCTCAAAAAGCACAGACACGTGCAGACAAAGGCAGTGCATACCCAAAAAGTGCATACTCCAACACACTCGCACATACATACCAATCCTAACACCAGAGGTTTATGTTTCTCATCAAAAGTAATATAATGCACGATACAACCCAATGGTTAAATGTTTAAGTGCAACATGAACTTTCAAATTTTTTTTTATCAAAAATTGAAATTTGTTAAACCGTTTCAAACAACACTGTGCATATGCAAGTGCAACACACCTTCCTCACCTTGAAATCAGCTAAAATGATAGTAAGCTTTGTTGTGGATTATAACAAACTTTGTAACTTCTTTCACTTTTTGTTAGTTCAAAACGAACGATTACCATAATTATTTTCAAGATCAAGTTTTCAATTCAAAACGAGTCCGCTGTTATTCCCTAGGTGAAAGAAGTCATTTTGAGTTTCCAAAACAGCCCAATGTTGAATACATAAAAAGTTATCGCAATATATAAACTAAACAAAATGACTTTTTTTAAACATTCTTTTTTAAATTTTGTTTCGAAGGGGGAAGGACGTGCATTGGCTTCAAGTGCCGGAACGAAAATTGCATTCCACTCTCAAAAGTTTGCAACCATGGCAACGATTGTGGCGACGATAGTGATGAGCCGATAGACATTTGCGATGGTGAGCGCTTCAACTTTTACACGTCCGTTGAATATGAAGAGATGTGCACGCGATCGCATAATTATTTTATATTATTTTATAAAATTATTGAGTTACATTTGTGAATAATGAAAATAATTCTTCAAAAACTGCCATTTATATATTCACGATATATTGTGTTGTTCCTTACTACTTTGTGTCTGACAAGCGTAGAACTGCTTGCGTGTTGTCGCCAGGTTGCAATTGAACGTTCGCGCATGTTTTAGGCATGTTGTTTATCATTTATAAGAAAAATTAAATTTTAGTTTTCTATTTAGAATGCGGAGTTTTTGGAAGGAAAACGTGTGATGATTATTCCAAATGTCTACTCCACGAAGAACTCTGCGACGGTGTTGCGCACTGCAAGGACGCCTCCGATGAGGCGCGCTGCACAGGCAACCACACGCGTTCGTTCATTCTGTTGTTTGCTGTCTTGTAGTTTGTGGTTTGTTGGTTGGCAGTTGTTTGTTTTTCTTTGTTGCTTGTTTTGGTTCGTTGTGCTGTTGATTATTGTTTGTTGGTTGTTGTCTGTTATTTGTTGGTTGATTTTGTTTGTTAGTGTCGATTTGTTGGTTGATGTTGTTGTTTGTTTGTATGTTTTTTGAATGCTTCACAATACTTCTTATATATTGTTAATTATTTTACTTTTATATCGAGTTCACTATTTATTAAGGTGTTAAATCACAAATCTTTTTAAAAACTGTTCACAACTGTGCAATGAACATTTTCGTTAATAATATAAACTACAAATCTTCCATCACTTTCATGTTCTTTCATTCAAACACGGCTGAGACAGGCAAGATAATAAAACACAAAGATGAGAAAGTGCTCCACAATAAATCAGACGAGTGGTGAGATTATTTTTTATTTAAAAAAAATTGTTCTTGTAATTAATTTAATCAACCACTTCCTTGCCAATCTTGCCAAAAAACTTTTTCAAGCAAATTGCTTCTTTAGACCCAACGATGGGGCACGACAACAGCTGAACAATATTTGTGTTAATGCTAATTTTAAGCCAATTTTAATTCTTAGTTGAATAAAGAAACTTACACCTAATCGTTATTGATTTTTTAGCCAAAATCTTTTCAAGTGTCGGAACGATGGTTGTGTGCCATTTGGGGTTCTATGTGACGATAATGATGATTGTGGTGACATGTCGGATGAGTTGAATGCTTTCTGTGGAGGCAAGTCATCATCACCATCATCACTATACATCTTCGTCATCATCACTATACATCATCATCTTTGTAGTCGTCGTCATCATCATCAACATCATATATCTAGCACAAATGTATTTTAATTATAACTCGACCTTACATTAATTAATGTTGTAATATTAATAATAATATGCTTCTATTAAATTGTCATGTCATGTCAACCTAATTACGAATAGATGGATGAATGGATGGATTGATAAATTAATGGACGGACTAATGGATGAACGGATAGGCGAATAGATAGGTATATGAGTGATTGAATAGATAAAGGATAAATGAATATTGGATGAATAGATAGATCTGAATCGAACAGATTGTGAGGAAGGACTGAAGATAGGATGCGGTGGGTTGAGGGAATGTGTGAATTTGTCCTTGAGATGTGATGGCATCCCACAATGTTCCAATGCAGCTGATGAGGAAAATTGTTTTTTTCGCTTTTTATCATGTTGGAATTGATTTATTATCTTTTTTTTAAATGTTATTCTTCATTTTGTAATTATTTTTTTATTAAAATAATTTCGCAGATTGTAAGTTGGACGAATTTGATTGCAGAAGTGGAGCAGGCAACAGGTGCATCCCTTCCCGCCAAGTTTGTGATGGAACTCCTCACTGCTCCAACAACAGGGATGAAACTGTCTGCAGGCGAGGTAACAGGAGGGTGATGTAGCGTATGGGTGGATATGTGGGAGGATAGTAGGTAGGCGATGTGGTTTTTATGGGTACGTAGTTTAGTCAATAGGTGGGCGATGCGGTGTGTGGGTACATAAGTTGGTAGTGAATAGGTCATGTAGATAGTTAAAATTTTAAATAAGCAGGTAAGTAGGAAAGTAGGTAAGAAAAATATTAATTATTTTTCACTTTATCACATGAGCCAAAAATAAACCATTATTCGTCGTTTATAATGCACCGTCGTATATAACGCGTACCCCAAAATTTGGTCAATCTAGTTATAGAAAACATCGCCGAAATCACCAAAACAGCCATGATTGATATAAAATCTACTCTGTTCGCTGCAAGTGACAATAAAAATGTTTCTATTTTGGCATTTTTAGATACAGTGCACCTATTGATCGTGTGAATTGTAGCATTTTGTTGGAAAGGCTTGGTTTTTGTTTTGGTGTTTCTGGAATGGTAAAATTGTGTTTGGAATACAAAACAGGTTAGGTTTAATGGTAGTTTGTCAAATATTCAAAAGGTTATTTTAGGTATGTCTTTAGAAGCAATGTTGCTTTTGATGTTCTTTATATTATTAACTCGTACGCAGACGATTTGCAAATAGCTGTTAGCGGGTCTCCTAATATGTTTTCAGTCATGGTGGGTAGATTAGTGAATTGTTTGTCGGAGCAGATAAGGGTTTGGAAGGCATGCAATGTAATAGATTAAAATTGTTTCAATTTGAGACACAATTGTTGTCAGTTATAACATGGCAATAGCTTTTTAAGGCAAATCTTAATTCTGTTTGCATTGATAGCCAAACATAAAATTTTGATCTATAATAACAAATTTGGGTTTCCGAGTGTCCCAAACATGCTATTTGTGTCGCATGTTTTGTTCTGTTCATACGCTGTGTGTCGTTGTGTGTTGTTATGTTGTTTGGTATGCTGTGTTGTGTCATCGCTGTTATCATTGTTGAAAACTAAAACATTTTTCAACTAAATTGTAACTAATGAATACCACTTGCGTTACAAACTCCTTGAAGCTCCTGTCCTCTCATATGAAGTAAATGATGCTCACTCCACAAACTCAGGTTTCAAATTTTTGTTTCTCCATTTTTTGTCAATATCAAATATTTAAAAAGTTGTGCCGCATCATTTTTAGTGTATATTTTTTATTATCACTGATTTCTCTAGCCTTTAAGGTGGTTTAACATTAAATTTTTTTTAAAGTTCAACTCAGATTGAATGTTTATAACTACTCAATTGTTCTGAATGCCCCACTAAAAAATGATTTTAATTTAATTTATTTTACTTTAATTCAAGTTAATAATACAAACAAATGAAATCAATTCTTTTTTAAAGCAAAATTGATAGTTAAATGGCGTTTTTAAAAAATTGCCCGCCTTCATTTTTCATTCGCGATTCAAAACTTCGTTGCCATAGTAACACGTAAATAGACTTTAGTCGTCTATGAATTTTACATTTAAAATTTGTGAGCCACCAAAAAGATTACAAAAATGTTACATATAGAGAATATTATATACAGGAAATTCCCTAATATCGTTACATATATACCATGTAAGAGCGTTCCAAAATAATTTTATAATCTTTGACTAAATAAATTTTATTCAATCGCTAGGAGTTGAAATTTGAGTTATTTACATTTTTTAATTATTATATTGCATTATTATATTTTTTAGTGATTTCATACATTCTAATTAATGTTAAAATAATTTCAGAAGTTTTAGTTTATAAATATGCTATAATATTAATATGTCGTAAAAACACTACAGTTTATTATTTTGTACAACATATGCATATATTAAAATTAAAACGTCTGTTTACGCTATTCACAACCATAGTTCTTAACATTCAAGGAACACTTGTATGCATCCTAATATCGGCTGGCCAATGTTATATATCATTGATTTCTAATACATATTGTTTACTCTTTATATGTGTGTATGATGCAGATTACTGAGCTGACTTTGCTTGAAAAAAAATTGAAATTGAACTATTTTACCTGAAATTGATTTTTCGGCATCACACCACCATTACAATAAATAATTTCGTTGAAATATCTTGTTCCATGATTTGTTAGAAATTAAAAAAATTAATAATCTCTTTGTATAGTTCAGCATGGTGTATAACTGTTTTGTTGGAGAAAGTAAATGATAATAATGATGATAACGATTATGATGATGATGATGTTGATTATGTAGGGTAATTAATCATTAGCAGGCCACGAATTAGTTGGGGGTATGCTGTTCATAGCAGGCTACTGCACCAGTGCTTTATAACTGCACTGCACTGCATGATCGTGTGGAATGATGAGATGGACCAGCCAGATCATCACATTATCACGTCGTCAACAACATCACGAAATCACATCAACAACACCACTAACATCAGCAACGTTGAATGTTTCAATAGTTCATTCTGCCTATAAAAAATGTCACTTCTAACTTTAAAGTTCACATAAGTTATCTCATGCTTGTTTGCGAATGTGGCTAGCTTGAAAGCATTCAATGGTGAAAGATCGAATGAATATAATGATGCTGATGCATCGAATGAACGATGACATTCTTTTCCTTCTGTGGCTGGCTGTTGCAATTATTTTTCATTTTTCAATTACGTGAAGAAATTTATTCAAAACATCTGAGTGTGTTGAAATTGTTCGAGTAGAAAAAATGAAACCAACGAAGCAAGTCATCTTGTAGTCGGTCGTGCACAAACAAAAATGCATACTTTTAATAAAATAATTAATTAATTTATTCATTAATTTATTCATTCATTTATTCATTCATTCATTCATTCATTCATTCATTCATTCATTCATTCATTCATTCATTCATTCATTCATTCATTCATTCATTCATTCATTCATTCATTCATTCATTCATTCATTCATTCATTCATTCATTCATTCATTCATTCATTCATTCATTCATTCATTCATTCATTCATTCATTCATTCATTCATTCATTCATTCATTCATTCATTCATTCATTCATTCATTCATTCATTCATTCATTCATTCATTCATTCATTCATTCATTCATTCATTCATTCATTCATTCACGGACTTTCACACGTAACATTTCTACAAGGTTACTCCATTCGTTGCAGATTCGCTCCATCAGTGCCTGAATAAATGAATTTATTATTATTCAACAACTAAAAGAACAGACTTTTTATATATATATATATATATATAATATATATATGTATGTATATATATATATATATATAATTATTTTATTAAAAGTATGCAACATCTGCAAACACATACTGACTACTAAGGCTAGTAGTGTTGCTAGCGATGCTAAACCTTCAGAAAGTAAAGAGCCAAGTAAAACAGAAATAAACATTCTGAAAAATTCTCGTTGGGGTGATGCTCCTTTGACGCCGTCGGCTGGTAATGTTGCTGATATCTTTTGGCCTGTGGAGCCTATGAAAAAACTTCATCGCCCAGCAACTCCCACACTTAATCAAGTTAATATTGAGACTAAATCATCTGTCAAGGGTATAGTAGGTCGGAAACTTCCCCTAAACTTGGTTATTGCTGCAAACAAAGCCGTTACAAAGCAAAAATTCTATCATATTGGTAATGTGGCAAGATGCACTAAGAACAACATTGTGGAATACTTGAAGTCACTTGATGTGGAAACTGTTTCATGTTTTCCTGTTTTTAAGAAGTCAGACAAAGAAACTAAAACACCAGTACTCAAAAAAGATGGTAATGAGGAGAATCTCTCCACAGACGAGACTAAACCAACGTCTTCGGACAAGTCAACATCCTTCAGGTTGTGCGTAGATGTAAAATTTGCCAATGTGATTGAGGACATGGATTCCTGGCCAGAGCATGTGAGAGTTCGTGAGTGGTCGTTTTCTTCACATCGTCAATCCTATACCAACCCGGTCAACACAATAGCTCAAAATGGATAGTAATTTTGATCCTGACCTGAATTATTTTGATCATTTATTTAATTCATGTAAATTTTATAATACCACTAACTTAAATTCATTATTCAATTCTGGTGTTACCAGTTTATTACATGTCAATGCTAGAAGTTTGTTTCACAAAATTAGTGAATTTGAAATTTTTCTTAATCAATGTACTATTAATTTTAATGTTATTGCTGTAACAGAAACTTGGTTAACGGATACTACGGGTCCGCTTACTGTTATTCCAAAGTATAATTTTATTTATAACAATAGACATAACAGGCGTGGTGGTGGAGTTGGATTATTTATTAGAGATGACCTAGTTTATCATGAAATTAATGTTTTAAAATCATCCTCAGAATATCTATGAGTCAATGGCCATTGAAGTCAATATTGGGTTACATTTCAACATTGTTGTAATTGTATTCTACAGGCCTCCGGACTCTGATCCCCTGACTGTTTTTGATCATTTTTTTAATGTAATCAAAAACTGTAGAAGTCTCAAGAATAAGGTTGTTTATATTCTTGGGGATTATAATATGAATCTACTTGATTCTGTTTGCAAAAATTCAGTAACATATTTCATTAATTCTTTTATTCTTTAAATTTTTTTCCACTTATTACAAAAGCCACAAGAATTTCTAATCACGGTTTTTCCCTTTTGGATAATATTTTTACAAATAATCCATCCCCACACTCCGCGGGTGTCATTTATAGTGATTTGTGTGATCATTTGCCAATTTTTTCGTTGATTAATGAGAGTGTTGACACCGATAATATTGTTCAAATTCCTAGGTTGTGTTATTCAAAAAAGAACTTAGCTGAACTTAATACAAAATTAAATTCTGTAGATTGGTCGTTTATTTTGGAATCTTCTGATGTTGAATTTGTATTTGATGCCTTTCTTAAATTTATTCATACCGCCATTATTGATGTTTGCAAGCCCAAATCAGTTAAGAAAAATAAATATAAAAAACCTTGGATAAATGCAGATTTACTTAAGGTAGCAAATAAGAAAAATTTACTATATAAAAAATATTTGAAAGACCCATCTTTTGTTAATAAAACCACATATATATCTCTCAAAAATCACTTCACAAAAACTGTTAGACAAGCAAAATCTTTCTACTTTAAAATGAAGTTTGAAAAAAATAAAAATAATTTAAAAAATACTTGGTTTATAATAAATGGTTTGCTTAATGCAAACAAAACTTCTAAACTCATTGGTTCCATTGATTTAAATGGTGATATAACTTATGACAATGAGGCGATTGCAAATTCTTTTAACAAATATTTCACTGATTTGATTGATGACAGCAATGTTGATATTAATGATAGGAATGTTACCCAATATTTGAACAATCCTGTTTCATCCTCAGTTTCAACATGTGAAACTAATGAATTTGAAGTTCTAAATATTGTTCATAGGCATAAGAATTCTAATTCTACTGGTCATGATGGAATATCTAATTTCGTCATAAAAAACGTTATTTCTACAATAATTAAACCTTTAACATATTGCATTAATTTATCATTAAAATCAGGAACGTTTCCAAAGTGTTTAAAAATAACCAAGGTTATCCCTATACATAAGAAAGGCCCTAAAGATTTAATTAATAATTTTAGTCCAATATCCTTGGTTTCATCATTTTCAAAACTGATTGAAGGAGTTGTGCATAATTATCTGACCTCCTTTTTAAATAACCACAATATTTTGTCAGATTGCCAGTATGGCTTTAGAAAGGATTGCTCAACTGAGCTTGCTATCCTTGAATTAACATTATATATTTCAAAAAATATTGATTCTATAAAACATACAATTGCAAATTTTATTGACATCAGTAAAGCTTTTGACACTGTCAATCATAAATTGTTAATAATTAAGCTATCACATTATGGTATAAGGGGAACAATGTTGGGTTGGTGTAAAAGTTACCTCGAAAGTCGTTATCAATATGTTACTATTAACTCAATTAATTCTACCTTGATGCCTATCAGCTCTGGTGTTCCCCAGGGTTCGATACTTGGTCCTTTATTTTTCAATTTATTCATAAATGATCTTGTTAATTCACCATTGCCAGTTAAATATATAATGTATGCAGATGATACCACCATTTTAGCCTCTGATCAATCATTGCGGGTAGTCGAAGAAACTCTTAATCAAGAGTTGTCTCGAGTTAGCTCATGGATGTTCAATAATGGTCTGCAAATATCTCAAAAACATATGCTTTACTTTTTGGTCCAAAAATTGTTACAAATCTTATAAACTTTTCCCTATATTATAACAATAATCAAATAACAAGATTAGACAAAATAAAATTTCTTGGGGTCACTGTGACAAGCAATTTGTGTTGGAAAGATCACATCATAAATGTTTCAACAAAAATTTCAAAGATTTTGGGTATTCTTTATAAGTTAAATTATATTTTATCAAAATTTTTAATGCTTAAGCTATTTTATACTCTTGTTTATCCACATTTAATATATTGCATCATTGTGTGGGGTCATCATGTTAAATCTCATATTGTATTACTTGATAAATGTTTGTTTTATTTTTTTAGGATTTATTACGATTTAAGAAAATTTGACCATGTTTCACATTGTTTTTCCAAATCTAGGATTTTAACAGTCTCTAAACTTTATTTATATCGAGTACTGTTATTTTTATTTAAATTAATTGTTTTAAAAAAACATTTGCAATTTCATTCTTTTTTGATCAATTCGTCTTCGTATTTTCTCAGAATTACTCGTCAAACATTGCCATATCATATTGTCAAGTCAAGAACTGCCTTATTTTCTTCAACTATATTTATTTTTGGTTTAAAATTATGGTTTCTGTTACCTTCTGATTTTCATTATATAAATAGCATCACTCAGTTTAAAAAGCAAATTTTTAATTGTATTCATCATGATTATTTTCCTACTGATATTTATTGACATTATTTCATGAACTTAAGTTTGTGCTTATATTTGTTGGATTATTTTGCATTGTAAGCTATATATGTGATGTGACTTCATGGATGTATTGTGTCTATATATTGAAAGAATGTATTTGTATGTTTTTCTTATTGAATATTTTTTAAGTGGACACTATATTTTTGGTTAGGGTGGCCATACAAGCTTGTTTTTTTTAAGTTTCTGTGTCTCCCAGTTTTGTCTAAATAAATTTGTCTATATATATATATACTGTGTCTCTACAATGTATATCCTGTGCCTCTTTTCCTCAATAATTGCATTTCTGACAGTTTTAATTTAACACACACACACACACACACACACACACACACACACACACATACACACACATACACACACATATATATATATATATATATATATATATATATATATATATATATATATATATAATTATATAATTATTTTTTTAATTTTATTTATTTTAATTGATGACAACGCAGCTTTGCAAATCGGAAAATTTAAACTAATTATAGATTTGAGGTAGATATAAAATTGTAAAACACACATCGCACCTAACAACAACACCATCACACACGCACAACATTTGTACACACGCATCAACATTGTACACACTCATCAACATATGTACAGTACACACGCATCAACATTTGTACACAGTCAACATTTGTACACACATTCAACCAAGTGCATCGCGGAAAAATAATTTGCCATATTGAATTAGGCTTTCATCATAGCCTCACCCATGGCAAACTTTTTCATCTCCTCTTCAACATCATCTCATCATCGTTTGCATTCTGCCATTATTACTTTCAACTATAAACTCAACAATTCCTTTATTCAAATACTTTTCCAACTAACAACACCAACTAACCATCCATCAATCAACCAACCACCGATCAAATGAACTATTTATAAACAACTTCAAGTTCAGTTTGACCACATAAACATCCCAAATGATGATTTACATTGGTTCGAAACAAAAACATCGAAACAAAAAATTCATAACTCAACTACTTCCTACAATAAACATTCAAACACAAAACCATTGACTGGTAAAGCCATTTTGAAATATTTAATAAAACAGCTAATAAAATCATCAAATTGATCAAATGAACAGATGAGAAAAATGATGTTTCTAGACTGGCAGTCTTCAAAAACGCACAAAACATCCAATGCCGGTGACTCGTTCGCGGTGTTAACGTTTTATTTCATCTCATATTTTCAGCATATCAGGAACCTCGACCTCCTAACGAATTTCACAAACTCAATACAGTTTTGTTGATTGATAATTAATTATTTGTTAAAATTTTTCAAGGACTGATCATTTTAATCTATCGAATAAAAATCATCTACCTTCTTACTTACCATTTTTTATGACTTTTTCGCTGACTTTTTAAGACTTTTTAAGAAAATTTTTCAAGGACTGATCATTTTAATCTATCGAATAAAAATCATCTACCTTCTTACTTACCATTTTTTATGACTTTTTCGCTGACTTTTTAAGACTTTTATGAATTTCCTACTTCATAAGTTGGAACTATATTTGACTTGGTTAAACTACTAAAAATTTAAACATTTTAATAATTAAAAGGCTTATATTTGGTAACCTGATGGTCGGAAGTGTGTTTTGTTTAGTTCTAAGTTTCGTTGAAGACTCCGTTTATTTCATGATAATTTGACAATTGGGAATAAATGAATTTAAAAGCATGCATGCATTTTTTTTAACATTCTACAGCGCTTATCACTTCTAAGGTTATTCTGGAGAGGTGATAAACATGCCATAACATGAAACACAATATAAAACAATTATCAGCATACAAAAACAACATGGCAAACACACAAATATGTTTAATGTTTGATTAAAAAGTATAACATACAACATTGGTGGGATTACAAACATTTTATTTACTTTGTTGAAGCTTTTACTTCAATAAAATTCTTAGACCTGCTATTTTTAAGTCGTGGTTTATTATTATTATTCCTAGATCAAAATACAATCTACTGATGCCATTACAGAAGCAAAGATCATCAATAAAAAAGTATTGCCGCAGCTCTCTGGATGACGAGATTTTCTAAATGACGAGACTCTAACATCACCAGCCAACAGATGCCACTGCTGAAGACATCATGCTTGCCCATGATGATAGGATAAGAACTGGGTGCCACACCATAAGGCACCCAGTTTTTATCCTGGTTGCCGAGTTTGCAGCCAAAGTATAACTCATGCAATTTTTTCACATGTGGTGTCAATCTTTGTCTGCATCTTTTTAAGGTCAGTTCGCCACAAATATAACAAAAATTCTCGGCCTGATTTTTACAAGATCTGGGCATTTTCTGTGCCAATACAATTGATAAATCACCTAGCTAACAACTCGAATTATAATAAAACAACTCGAATTATAATAAAACAACTCCTCGCAACTACTAATCGCCAGACAACTACTAGTTCAACTGTCTGCAAACCGTATATACACTTAATCACGGTTGGTATGGAATGCTGACATAAGCAATAATCGTAGGCAAACCCTAACTCTGCTGACGTAAGCGACGAAATTCTGTTGGCGTAAGGAAAGTAATTCTGCAGACGTAAGCAATATTATTCTTCCATGTAGGTCTTATAGGTTCAATTCCATTACACAGCTGTAAATGGGGAATATGAAATTGTGAATTTACATAAAATTGGAGGGTCACACAACTAATCTGATATCATTTTCCTAATCTCCATATCAAAATACATAAGGGAGTTCCATTTTTTTGTTGTACAGTGTTTTTAATCTAAGTGTAAAATTGAATTTTTTTAAGGACATGTTTTATTAAAAACAAATATATGGATAAGCAATGCAACACAACTAGATGAAGATTATAACGGACGTTTTTATTACACAGATAACAAATTCTTTTAACTAAATCAGCAAAACATTGATTAAAGTTATTAAAATGTAACACTCTTTGCTTTTTTTTCAGCAAAATCTTTTATCAGGCTTGAAAAATCTAAATTTTCTGCTATATTTTGCTCGATTGATAACTTGGCTCAAGAGTTAAGTCGATCTTGCAACATAGTGTTTTTCAAATATGTTTTAATTAGTTTCACTTTAGAAAAGCTCTGCTCGCCACTTGCAACATTTACAGGTTTTTTAAGAAGAATGCCCAGAACAATCCATGTATTTGGCTAAAACGTTTGGGAAAAATATTTTTTAATTAAGTTCAAAACAGTGAAAGGTGTAATTTTTTCTATTTTTTAAACTTCCACTTCACCTATTAATAAAAAACATAACATTTATTTGTTTGTCTCATAACGGAGCACCATCAATATCAGTCTTTGAACAAACGGTTAATTTATTTGCAATTCTCAACACAATTTCAATATTTAATGGGCAAAATATCCTAATTAAATACAAAAAACCCATTTATTTACATATTTATCCAGTTGTTCAAATCGTTCTTAAATTGATGACAAACACGTGTTTAATAAGGGGTTAAAAATTCCACTTCAAGTTTCTTCTCTGGATCCTAGGTTGGTTCGGCAGTAATATTTTTATCAAAATGACGTTTTACTTGTCGCACTCTTTTGATTGGTTTGAAAGTTTTCTTTAACAGCAACCTTTGCTTGTTTAAAGCCAAACGTTCTGTAATTTTCTAAATATTTAATACATTCTTAAGACAATTCAGTGTATTGTACCAGATCCATGTCCTTGGCCTGCCTCGCTTTATTTACAGTACATTGTACCATGTAAATAAATAAATTAGTAAACTATAATCTTTTCATTGTTAGGCTAACGTAAGTGCTTCGTGTGCAATGTATGGACTTTTGGTATCAGTTTCATATATAGTAATTAAAGCATAATGCACGCTACTTATTTGGAATCGGATTGTTCTGAGACTTTCAATTTTGGCTTCCCAGCGAGTATCACATTGTATAATACCATAAATGCTAACGGAGTTAAATGAAGACTGTGTAGCATCACCAATAACTAAACTGAGGGAGTGGCTTTCACAAGAAAAGAAAAACCAAAAAATTTAAATTTAAATTATTTTGGAGACTTGCCCCTATTTATTATTGATGTTACCAATAGAAGTTTGGTAGCTTAACATTAACGAACAAGTACAAGCGAGGCCAATATGCAAAAAAAGATGTTTTAACTAATTTTTAATCTAATTAATCAGTATTTTTTACATATTTTATCTTTGATAAAAAAACTGAACACATATTAGTTTATCACATAGCAAAGCACCATCAATATCAGACTTTGAATAAACGGTTAATTTTTCTTGCCATACTCAACAAAATTTCAAAAGTTCATACTTGATTGGAAAATTATCAAAATAAAGTTAAATAATTTTAGTTACAGAAAAGTTAGAAAAAATTAGGATAAAATTTATAATTTTTTGATTAAAGTATTTTTCACAAATTATTAGTATGAAAAATAAATTAATTTCCAGGAAAAACTAAATCTATTTTTAACTTATTTTTATTATAAAAATATTTAATGCTTATTTGCAGAAAGCATTTGGCACCCCCAGTTACCCGACGCCTAACCCCCCAAAAAGCCGGCACTAACAAGCCCTCCGTTGTGAGCGTTATTTGTGTTAATAAATGGTAAAAATTGTTGTTTTAACGTGAAACATTTTTGAAGGAAAAATTAACATTATAAGTCTATCAGCAGAAAAGTTGGCCTCCCGTGACACAAAAAATTTTTCTAAAAAACTTTGTCCCCCATCGGTCATCGACTTTTTTCTGTTTTGGAAACTTTTTCCACCCCGGTCGTCAAACATTTTTCCAAATCATGGCCCCCTCTGTCAAATTTGTCTAGATCGACCAATGGTTACATCTGATCATATTACCAACCCAGTGAGTGCAATCATCAAATTATAAGATAATATAGGAGCATGAGTTAAGTTTGATTAGTTAGAAAAAGAGAAACCAACTGACAACGTTGAATGTGCTCGAGTAATTAATTGCTCCACCGCTTACAAGGCCATCGTAAATCATGTCTTCAAATATTGCTATTGTTATTAATAAAGCAATTTTTGTTTTTGTAAGCGTTATTATTATTATAACTTATGTTTCAAATATATTAATTAACTCTGTTCCATGTTAAATATTCGAAATGAAATGTATGGATTAACAATGTACAATTTAACATAATCTCGTTAGCGTTATTTACCTTCCCAGATGATGTCGTGTTTACATCATTACTGCAACGAATGTTGTCATCATTAAGGATTTATTATTATTATTATTTATATTATTATTAATATTATTATTATTATCATTATCATTATTATTATTATTATTATTTTACGAAAATGTTAAACCTCTCGTATTAATCTGATAAGCCGTCACCTTCCGGTTCTTGTTAATCTCATAACCGCTGCTGTAATAAAAATTGTTCTGGTTACCGTTATAAAGCAATTAATGTTATTAGCGTTATCATGATTATGACCATGAGATTTTGATTATTATTTTTACTGCTATTATTACTATGAAGATGACGATGATAATTTTTATTATTATAATTATAATAATAATAATTATTATTATTATCATCATATTTGTCATTTTAGTTGTTATTGTTATCATCTAATTGTTTTATTTACAGCTTCTCTAATTAGTTGTATCTCGAAAATAAATCATGTTATTCGCAGTGGCTGTGTTGATGATGATGATGATAAATCATGTGTCAGATTTGTACGCTGTCACGTTCCACATGTGATGGTGTGCGTGTGCGTGTGTGTTTGTATATGTTTATGCGATTAAGCGTTGTATGTGTTTGTGTATGTGCATGTGTATGTTTATGTGTATGTATATGTGCGTGTGTGTGTGCATATGTGTAAGGGAGTTCCTATAAGACAAGTGAATGTGAATTTGTAAGAACGTAAGAGTGTTTGTGAAAATAAATAATATATTTGTGTTTGTGTAAGTGTATGTGGCAGTATATGAATGGCATGGGTGTGTGAAAGCATGTGTGCGTTTCAGTGAGTGCGAATGAGCGTGTGAGAGTGCAGGATTGAAGGATTGAGAAACAGTTTGTAAATAACAAAATGTAAAAATAGCTGTTAAAGTGCGGGGGGGCAGGCCGAAGAACGCCTCCTTAACAAGTTGAACCATCAAATTCCCGAGTACATTTTAAACCGTTCCATATTTTTTAAAGTTAAGTTCTGATATAGGTAGAGATTGCCACAACATGCAAGCCTAAATTTCACAAATAAACCTAAAATAATAACAATGTATTGCAATAAAATTAAAGTAATAAAAAAATAAATAAACAAAAGATAATAAAA